GTCTCTCTCAGATCAAATCATAGGCACAATATCCAAGCTAAATGGAAAGCACCTTCTATGCGCTTTGGATCTTTACTGTCATGGGAATGATCAAACGGAGGTCATTTTAAGCAGAGTTTATGAAAAGAGCTGATGTTTCTGAAGCAACAACAAGCTGCATTTTCTACAGTACTTGTCATTGCAGGAAAATGTCTGTGTTTTATGCTGATAATGACAAAACGGTGTATGTCATAAGTGATCTGTTGCGAAAAATAGGATTCTCTCCCCATCAGTACTCTTACAAAAATCAGAACCTTACAAAATTATATGATTTACTGTTTAATTGATTTTATATGGGTATTTATAGTTCTTGCAGGTTGACGTAAAATAATCACATAGGGTGTGTCATTGATTCTGTTCACTTATGTGCAAGTTGATACTTTAATAATTTCGGATGCCAAGTCAAAAATGTTTAAGCTGCAGTGAATTGGTGACTTCCAATAAATGAATTTTAGGACAGTTCCGTAAAATCTACCTCCCGAAGATGGTGACTGTCCAAAGTGAGTCTTTAGTTGAAGGAAAGTAATTAAATGTAAATGATCTCTTTTTTTTAATTCACTCATGGGATGTGGGCATCACCGGCTAGACCAGCATTTATTATCCATCCCTAATTGCCCAGAGGGCAGTTAGGAGTCAATCACATTGCTGTGGGTCTGGAGTCACATATAGGCCAGGCCAGTTAAGGATGGCAGATTTCCTCTCCTGAAGCATGTCAGTGAACTAGATAGGTTTTTCCTGACAATCAGCAATGGCTTCATGGTCATCATTGGACTCTTAATTCCAGATTATTGTTGAATTCAAATTCCACCATCTGCCATGGCGGGATTCAAACCCCGGTCCCCAGAACATTACGCGGGTCTCTGGATTAATAGTCTCACGATAATATCACTAGGCCATCATCCACCCATCTTGCATCAAAGATAAATTCCTCAATTTTCTTGTCCAAGTTATAAATATGAAAATAACTTTATTTGTTGTTTGTGTTTTAAAAAGTTAAAAATGTGCACACATCCACATCAGTACTTTACACAGTAATATAATCAGAAACTATATGGAAAAAGCATGGTGCAAATAATTTTTATTTATATATATTATATATATGCCCATACTCCTACGAGATGACAAAGGTCATGATTTTATATAGATTATTTTTCATTTCCCCACCCAAAATAACATTGGCATGTGGCTGTCTGTTGCATATTTCCACACAAAAGCAAATTCATATGTGGCAAAATTGCAAAAATATTTCGCAGCAATTTTGTTTTTCGGTCTTTAAATCTCTCTTTTTTTGAAATTACCTTCTTTGGCTTTTTATAGTTGTGAAATACTTCTATATTTATAGATTGAATATTTCTGAAAATTCCATGATTGAATGAATGAATATCAATGCATGTTGTTTTTTGTAATTATTGCATGTTCAATAAAGAAATATACAGTTTACATCTGGACATATTATCCAATGAATGACACCTCTAGGTGGTGCAAAGTGCAGAAAGAAAGCTGACACAATTCTCAAGTGATGAGAAGCAGCTGCAAGTCTAAAGATGGTGCTGGAAGATATTAAGTAGCCAGCATGACAAAATAAAGAGTTGATTTTATTTTGAAGTTGATTGATCTTCTTTGCAGCATCCCTCTTTCTGTGTTGGAATACTACAGCATTCAGTGCTGGGTCCCTTGCTGTTTGTTGTTTACTTTAATGATCTAGATATGATTATAGGAGATATGATCAGTAAGTTTGCAGATGCCATGAAAATTGGTGCTGTGATAAGTAGCAAGTGAGAAAGCGTTAAACTACAGGGTGATATAGATCGGCCGAAAGTGGCAAATGGACTTAATCCTAAAAGCTGAGGTGGTGCGTTTTGGGAGGACTAACAAGGCAAGGGAGTACACTTTGAATGGTAGGAGCCTTGGAAATATGGAGGATCAGAGGAACCTTGGTGTTTATATCCTTGAAGTCAGCAGGACAGGTAGATATGGCAGTTAAGGCATATGAAATATTTGCCTTCAATAAAGAAGGTACTGAATACAACAGTAAGGAAGTTGCGGTGGAATTGTATATAATATTAGTTAGGCTACAGCTGTGTGCATTTCTGGGGTCCCTGCACCATTGGAGGAATGTGATTGCACTTGAGGGTGTGCAGAAGAAATTCACCAGGATGTTGCTTAGGCTGGAATAAGTCAACTATGAAGAGAAACTAAATAGACTGGGGTTTTCCTTGGAGCACAGAGGAATCTGATTCAAAGTTCTGAGTGGCATAGATGGGGTAGATAGAGAGATACCTTTACCTAGAGTAAAGAAGTTAATAAACAAAAGGTAAAGTTTTATCTTACGAGGATAAGGAAGAGGAGTTTTAGAGGATATGTGTGGATTTTTTTTATTTCATCCATAGAGCAGGTATCTGAAACTTACTGTCTGGAAAATGGAATTAGAATATATGGATGTTTGATGAACATAGCAGACATGATGGGCTGAAGAGCCTGTTTCTATGCTGTTTAAAGACACTGAATTGCCCCTTTATTTCCTTTCTCCTCACTGTCCATGGCCCTAAACACACCTTTCAGGTGAAGCAGCAATTTACATGCATTTCTTTCAGTCTAGTCTGCTGCATCCATGGCTCACAGTACTGTCACCTCTATATTGGAGAGACCAAATATAGATCTGCTTTACAGAATACCTCCACTCAGTCCGCAAGGGTGGACTCTGACCTCCCCATCTGAGGTGGCAGAAACAAAGCAAAATTGACAAAACAAAATTCGATGAAACTGAATGATTCATTCATCCTGTGGCTAGGGTAGTGTAGTAATTTAGTTTGTGTTGATTGATTTAGTAAACTTTTGTTTTGCTGTTGTATTTCTAAACTGTTTTTGAAATGTTGAAGTCAGATTACAATTTTCAAGGCAGCAAACAAATACACTTTCAATTACAAAAGAAAATAAGTGCAAATACAGTAATCTGAAGCAAAAATAATACTAGAAGCACAATAACTGAAACAGCAGCTGAAAAGAAGAAAGGTGAAACATTATAGGTGTGATGTGATTACTAAACTGCAAATTATGGGTATCTCTCTAATAAATAATCTAATCGGATAAATTTATTTCAGAAGATGTGTCACTCTTTAGGCTCAATTGCTCTTGATGAGGCGGTAGCGAGATACCTTGAATGGAAAAGGGTTAGAAACCCGTTCTGAAGAAAAGACACACCATACTGAAATGTTAACTGTTTCTCTTCCCAGAAATGCTACCTTGAGTTTCTCCAGCATTCTTTCTACATAATATTAATGTTGACCCATTTGATCACTTCACTGACAATCAAGAATAGACTGATGGGGTGATAATTGATAGGTTTGGATGTGTCCTGCTTTTCATGTACAGGACATAATTGGGCAATTTTCTGCATTGTCAGGTAGATTCCAATGTTGTAGCTGTACTAGAATTGACTGGCTAGGGACATAGCAAATTCTGGAACACGTAGTCTTCAGAACTATTGTTGGAATGTTGTCAGGACCCAAAACCTTTGCAGTATCCAGTTAGTTCGGCTGTTTCTTGAAATCATACATTGTGAATGGAATTGACTGAAGATGGGACCTCTGGAGGAAGCAGAGGTGGATCATCCACTGGGTACTTCTGGCTGAAGATTGTTGCGAATACTTAGGTGTTATCTTTTGTACTGTTGTGCTGGACTCGTCTATCATTGATGATGAGGATATTGTGGAGGCTGCTCTTACAGTGAATTATGTAATTATTAACCACCAAATGCAGCAGGATTCTGGCAGATCTGATCTGCCGGTTGTGGAAATGCTTCTCCCTGTCTATCGCTTGTTGCTTACACTGTTTGACATGCAAGTAGTCCTGATTCACCTGATTGATATTTCATTTTTATGTATGCCAGGTGCTACTCCTGGCATGCCCTCCTACACTTCGTTGAACCATGGCTGATGCCTTGGCTTGATAAATGGTACACATACCAGGCCGTGAGGTTGCAGATCATGCAGGAGTATGTTTCTACTCTACTGAAGCTCTGCACTGACTCACTGATGCACTGTTCAGAGATGTTTCTGGTATCTTGGTCGGTCCTGGGTTGTGATTTCATTCTCCTTACCACACTTTATAGTAGTTTAGTACAACTGAGTGGCTTGCTTGCCTGTTTCAGGAGACATGTAAGAGTCTGTGACATTGTTGAGCATCTGGAGTCATGTGGCCAGACTAGGTGAGGATGGCATGTTCTTCTGAACACTCATTTCCTTTCATTTTTTGATACAATGTTCTACAACATAAATTCAAATCTCTACGTTTGAAATAAAAACATTCCATGTCAACATTCTATGACCATTGCAATTAGAAGAGTAGAAAATCCAGAGGGTAAATGTAGGAAGGAACTTAAAACAATCACTAACATTGAAGAAGAAGTGAGGAAAACTAATGGAACTAAAGGCTGACAAGATCTCTTAAAGTGATGGACCACATCATAGGTTATTAAAAGAAATGGTTTCAGAGTTGGTGGATTCATTGACTGCAATCTTCCAAAATCCCTAGATTCTGGAGAGGATCTGAACATTCTAAAATTGCAAATGTAAAGGCACTATTCAAGAAAGAAGGGAGACAAGTAGGAAACTTCTTGCTCATTTCGTTTTGGGCTTATACCATTGTTACTGTAGTGTTTTCCATTGAGAGGCCACAAGACACATTTCTTTCTGGTACACACTATAGTGATATAATTCAAGCAAAATGTCATGTTTTGGTTCACATAAAATCGAAAAATGACTTTTGTATATTAAGCAGAATTTAAAGAAGCCCCAAATGGAACAGTTACAGAAGTTTATTCCTGAAATCGTATCTAGTTCTATTCCGCTACTTTGTTACTAATTGTTTTTGAAGTGCAGCGCGTTCCACTCAAATATTCCAATCACAAGCTTTAGCTCCGAGGGGCAGAGGAGCTTGTACAGCCCCCGAGGAGAAGCAGCATGGAGCAACCCGGAGCGGCCAAAGGCTGTCACCCTGAACTTGTCAAGTGGTGAGACATGAAATCATGATAACAATAGGCCACCAATTGATCGAAAATAACTGAATTATTTACATCATGTTACGGAAATAATCTTATCCTTTTTAAGAGATTCAAGTTCTAAATGTGTTTGAAACTGAAATGAATTATTCAGCTATGAGTTTTATTATGAACTATAGGAAAGCCATTCAATGGTATTTTTTAATTTAAAACAATAGCCTTTTAAAGTGGCTTAAATAGTTCGTTTTTTAAGACCAACTTTGATCTGCAGAGGAAGCTGGTGTTTACAGTATGTTAGCATCTCCACGGACTTGATTGATACAAATTCTACCGCTTATAGCGTTGACACTATTTAAGGGACGCCCAGCAAATAGGCAGGTACATTGTAGAAAACCCGAGAGAGAGAGAGCTACTATATTACCCAATGAAAACTGTGCTTTTCCATGGAGGAAATCGGTCTCCTATTGATGTAACGTAGGCAGAAACATAATTGTTAAACATTTAGTTTAGCGCATTCTGTTTTAGTTTTGGGCGACAACGTATCGCTCAAGTTTCTGCTATGAAGGATGCATAGAAAGAAGACCTCTACTCAAACTTCAGATTTTACTGTAACAAAATCTCAGTATTAATACGGCTTTTGGGAAACCTAAATACCGTATTATTTAATTGACAATATTCCATGGAGAAGTAGTGATTTTACAAGAGTGTAGAGTCTGACTCCTATACAAAAACATACCAGGAGCAGAAGTCGACCACTGGGCCCGTTCAGCCTGTGTTGCCATTCAATAAAAATGTATTGTTTGTGTTTCGAAATCCATATTCCCATCTATCTTAAACCCTGGATTCCAATCCCAACGAGAGTCTATCTACATAAAAGCTGAACATCTGAAACAAAAACAACCAATACTAAAGACATTTAGATCTGTCAACATCTGTGGAGAGAGAAACAGAGTTAACTTTAGAGTCTGATATAGCTTCTTCAGAAATAATTCATTTCTGTCTTATAACATCCACGGTCTTTAGAGGCAAAGAGTTCCAGGGTCCGACAACTCAAAGTCTCATCTTTGCTGGGGCAACCTCACATTTTGAAACAGTGCCTTCTAGTTCTGAAACTGGCCCATAATATACAGAATACATATCAAAGCACAGACTTATACACACACTATTCCACTACAATGTTTTGTTGCTTCCCTGACTTGAATGGCTTCCCAGAGCATAATGCCATCAGTTTGCACATTCATCTTGTAGACGCTGCTCTGATCTTAACAAGTCAAGAAGACCTCAAACCTATTGGTAAGTCACAGAATTTGACAGTCCCGCACTCCTGTACTGGGTCCCCTTCCCTGCCTCTCCCACAGTCATGCCCTATTGGCCTTGACCTTGACTCAGAAGACCCTATTTTAAGTGTTGTGACTACATCCTGGTACAAAAAGCCTGAGTAACCTTCCCGCTATCTGTAATTGAACCTCCAGCTCAAACCAAGCCAAAGCTGCTCAAACTTCAAGCACTTACTGCAAACATGTTTACCCTGGATCACAACACTATCCAGGAGCTCTCACATGCTGCAGCCTTGAACCATCTCGCAAACTGCTATTCTTTTTACTGAGTTCATTATTTACTAATTTTTCCTAATTTATTAACTTTACCATCTGTTTGTATACTATGTTCACATTTTAAAGTAGAAAAGACTTTGACCACTTACCAGCTTCTATTTTACAAGTAACTTCTTTCGCTGTAGTAGAACAAGAAAAAATTCCAATCAACTCCAATTAATTCACAGGTAGTCTTTGACTATCTACGACAGGTCGTTTTCTTATCTGCTGTCTTCAGGTGATACTTACTGCCTATCGCAGCGTTGTTACTTTCCCTGCTCCTCTAGCAATTGCACCGATATCACTTAAAGATGCCTTAAAGCTTCTTTTACTAAGATGATCTTTGTATATAATCTAGAATATTTTAAATTGGAAATAAGTGAAAACAATGTGTAAATGACATTAAATCCACTTTTTTTTTGGTTTGACATTTTGACATTAATTTTTCCCTTGCTTTCCTCACTTTTTTTTAAACTTGGTTTGACAAAGAGAGAAGACCCTTTCCAACTGTTGTTATGATGGATAAGGCTCAAATTAATATATTGAGGCAAGGCACCTACAAATATGTTGCATTTGGTACTTTGTACAGTTGGTTTAACACTATTGTAAATGACTTACACTGTTGGTTTGTGACAGTAGTTTCTGACCACAGAATTTCAGTAAAGATATTATCATTGAATGAAAAGTTGTACATGATTGGGGTGCCACTGCATTTTTAATATAAAAATAACATGTAAACACTAGCTTTAATTTTTCATCTTTTAGTCAGAATACCAAACATCACATTTATGTTATATTCGCTTTTCTTTCAGGCTGCTTGAACATTTTTACGTTTGTGAAGGCTGGAGCATTCCTCGTGGTCTCATTTATCAGTTTTACCTGGAATATTGTAACCACAATAGATTAACTCCAATAAATGCAGCTACTTTTGGGAAGGTATGATCGACACTGTTAACTAAGGGATGACATTTGATAATTGTGTAATAACCAGTCTATAATGAAAGAAAGTATATACAGAAAAATTAGATCATTTCTAAATCCCACCTTAAACACCAGACATCATCTTTACAAGGAGTTAACATCTAGGTATGTTACTATGAAGATAGGTCTAGGGATGAATCTTTTCTCATTTGGCTCACCAGGTACACTAATTTATTTTAAACAAATCTAATTTTCTAATCCTTGATTACATTACCCTCAAGGAAAAATAAGAGAATGGCCAGACCACAGAACAAACATTTTATTTGTAATGAACTACAATTTAAAGTTGATACTTAATAGGGTTATAATATAAGCTGATGTTACTATTGGACACGTCAGATCTCAGACTGAAACCTGGCTTGACAGATCATATTTTGTTGTGTTTTGATTTTAATGAAGTGGTCTTTTACTGACACTTAAGCACACAATGCTGCAGATTTTGCTTTAGCAATAAAACAGAAGTTTGTTAACAAAATAGATGAAGATAACATAGAATGATTGAAATTCTTTACCTATACCACAAATTCAAAGGTTTTTAAATCACACAGTTAAAGTATAATCCCATTAATCCCAAAACTCACCTTTATAAATTGAAAAGAAAACAACAACTTTTGTATAGTACCCAAAACACAACCCTAGTACAGTGCTCACACCAATGCCCAAGTCTCTAATACCTCAATAGGTTTAAGTCACTTGTGACTTTAACTTACAGACTGGAACTACAGAGAGCTTCTTCATGGAGCTATCGAATACCTGAATGTAAGTATACACTCAGTTTCAAGTAACTTCTGCACTTCTGGTGTGGGATTAACACTAACTCTATATCTTTCCCTTTTCAGAAACACTGGCTTATACAAGCATTTTCTTTGCAGGACTTCACAGGACTGCTCAAAACCCAGAGTAAAATTAGAAACAAAAATCTTTCACCTAGCTATATCTCTCTCCCATAAGTTTAAAAAAACTCTCCTGATCCACTAAACTGTAGTTCATCTATCTTGCTTGGTAGTAAAACCCTAACAATGTACATGAAAACCCATTAATCCAAAGCTTGATCTCAAAATCTGTTTTAAAAGAAATCACCATTTCCACAGAAAAACTGTTAAGTGAATGATTAACTTCAGATAAATTGAAACCCGACATGTTATTAATTCAAAACCCAATCTTATAACAAAGTGATATTAAATATATATACATATCACATTTTACATCACAATATACATACAGAATGTAATCAGTTACCTAATAATTGAGTAGTAAATCATTAAAGGACTCAGTTACTACTGCTATACAGTGGTAGTATGGGGGAATTTTAAAAAAAGCATTCAGAAAAAAAGGACTCAGTTATTTGACAAAATTCATATCATAAGTTATCCAGGCAAATTAGTGTCCACTAAATTAGAGACAATGGATGCTAGGCATTAATTACAGCAGTGAGCAGAGTTTGAGGTTATAAGACTGATTTAAGATGATTCGATAGATAGCTGACAAATTGAATAGCTTTGTGTAGCTAATCTACCAAATAACTGAAGCCTGAACATATGATTAATAATGTTCTGGATTTACATAACCACATTCTAAAATATGAATGGGTAGGTAAATCTCCTTTATTAGGAGCCAGGCATTTGCTTCTGTTGTGTTGAATCGATGAACTCCTTCAGAAAAGTGTTATCTACTTCATATGGATCTTTGCTTCTGACTGACAACATTATATATACACACAAGTGATGATATTTGACTTAATTAACATTACATTATGTTACATTACTTTAATGTCTCAACTGCTCAGCATACATTAATTATATCTGAAGGTATGTATGACTCAAACAGAAAAACACTGGAAATACTTAACAGGCAACAGCAGTGAGAGGAAATGATTAAAGTTTTAGGATTTGGAAATTCTATCATAATGGAGAAAACTACAGATAAACGCATTTAAAATTGAATTGAACGATGGGATAAGGAAAACAAAATTATAAAGTAAAAGGAGATGACAAGTGTCTAATTAAACTTGGTTATGTATAGTTTTATTCCATTTTCTTCTTGATATTGTTGCATTCATTATTTAGTTGGCTTTTTTTATATTCATAGGATTTGGGCATTATTAGCTGGGTCAGCATTTATTGCCTGCCCTTTATCATGAGACTGATTCCAGAGATGAGGGGTTTGTAGTGATTGTCATGAGGTCAGCCAGGTGGACCTCATAGAATATGAGTTCCATGATTGGGGCTGTTAATCTGGTCCAATCAGGGAACCCTGGCTGACAGATACAAACAGGAGTGTCAGAGGCTCTGCTCTCTGAGAGCTAGCTGGGTCAGTGTCAAGGGCTCTCTATGTGTCAGTAAAGGGAGACTTAGTGATGGGATACCAGCCTCCATGGAGTTATTTCAGGGCTTGTCTCAAGAAGAGAGATTGAGCAGGTTGGGCCGAAATTCTCTGGAGTTGAGAAGAATGAGAAGAGATTTAATTGAAGTATTTAAGATGCTAAAGGAGAACTGACAAAGGTTGACATAAAAAGGATATTTCCTCATGTGGGGCAATCTAGTACAAGAGATCATAGTTTTTGGACAATGGATATAGAATAATACAGTCCAGAAGAAGGTCTTCAGCACATTGAGTCTGTACCATCAAAAATATACAACTATCTACTGGAAACATTTTGTTTTCAGAACAGATTCCAGCATATGCAGTCATTTGTTCCTACCACTGCCTACTACTAGTCCCACTTTCCCACATTTGACCATAGCCTTGAATATTAGGACATGTCAAGTGGTCATCAAATACTTTTTAAAGATTGTGAGGTTTCCTGCCTCAAATACCCTCTGAGTGAAAGTTTTTCCTTAAATCACCTGCCTTGCACTTTAAAATTATGCCCCTTTGTTATTGACCCTTCAACTAAGGGCAACAGCTGCTTTCTATCCCCTCTATTCTTACCCCTCAATCTTAGACACCTCTCTCAGGTTCCCCTCCTAAATCTTCTCTGCTCGAAAGAAAAGAACATGAGCTTATCCAGCCTCTCTTCATCCTGGTAAATCTCCTTCCCCCACCCCTGCCTCTAGTGTAATCACATCTTTACAATAGTGTGGTGACCAGAACTGCACACAGTACTCCAGCTGTGGCCAGACTGAAGTTCTGTACAGCTCCAGCATGGACCTCCCTGCTCTTATATCAGGTAGCGGATTTAAAATAGATAAGGAGAAATTACCTTTCTCGAAAGATCATAACTCTGTGAAATTTACTATCCCAGACTGCAGTGAATGCTGGGACATTCAGTAAATTTAAAGGAGATAGACAGATTTTTAATTAATAGTAGGTTGAAATATTATGGAGAGCAGGCAGGAAAGTGGAGTTGAGGCCATGATGAATCAAATGGTAGAGCTAGCTCGAGAAGCTAAATTGCGTACTCCTGCTCCTAGTTCTTATGTTCTTAATAGCCCTTGAAAAGTTGGTGATAAGCAATCATCTTAAATCACTAAAGTCAATGTTTTAAGTTCTGAGTCTCCTACAATTTAAATAGCAACCCCAAGATTAATTTGTTCATTTGAGACTTTAACTAAAAAGGTAACAAGAGATAGTCTAGTGCAGTAAATCATAAAATTTTACCTAGGTTTTAATAATACCTATTAAAGCAGGCCAGTAAATTTACAGGTATACGATGACCCTTGCTTTCTAATTCAGTTTAGGGCACAGTTTATTACTCTGTTTGCCATCTCTCTCACTCACTCACTCTCTCTAATGCCTTGAGGATCTTCCACATCTAATTGAACAGAACCTTCTGCCAGTTCTTGGCCATTGAAAGCTGTTCCTTATTAACTCTTTCACAACCAAAACCCACAGCATGATCAATTACAACATTACATTCTGATTGGCCTAAGCCAGGTGATGTTTAATACTAATTGGTTGAAGGGAAGCATGATCAAACTCTAACTGGCTCTTAAGCAAGATGGGACATTGACTGCTATCACCTCCCACTATCTCCTGACTAGTTCTTTAAGTGATCAATTATCCATGGGTTCATCCTCTTCAATAAATTCTGTTATTGTTACTTTTTGACATTTTATTAAGAAAATAGGATAGTTTGAAATGTTTTTCTCCTCTACATTAAAGAAAAATAGAGGTCTGTGCAGGCAGGACTCTGACACACACACATACACATGTACACACATTTGTGTGTGGAAAATCATGTCTCACAAATTTGATTGAGTTTATTTTGAGGACATGCCCAAGGGGTAGATGAGGGCAGAGCAGTAGATGTGGTCTACATTGATTTTAGTACCCTTTCACAAGGTTCCACATGGTGGACTGATTAGTAAAGTTCGATCACATGGGATTCAGGGAGAGCTTGCCAATTGGATAAAAAGTTGGTTTGACAGTAGGAGACATGGGGCAATGGTGGAAGGTTGTTTTTCAGACTGAAGGCCTGTGACCAGTGATGTTTCGCAGGGATCGGTGCTGTGTCCACTGTTGTTTATCATTTATATAAATAATTTGGGTGAGAATTTAGGAAACATGATTAGTAAATTTACAGATTACACCAAAATTGGTGGTATAGTGGACAGTGAAGAAGATTATCTAAAATTACAAAGAGATCATCATCAATTGGGACAATAGGTTGAGGAGAGGCAGATAGAGTTTAATTTGCATTGTTGTATTTTGGTCAGATGAATAAGGGCAGGACTTGCACAGTTAATGGTAGGGCCTGGGTAGTGTTGTCGAGCAAAGAGACCTTGGTTCAAGTATAAGAAATAACACAGTGTGGAGCTGGAGGAACACAGCAGGCCAGGCAGCATCAGAGGAGCAGGAAAGCTGACGTTTTGGGTCGGGACCCTTCTTCAGAAATGGTTCAAGCACTTAGTTCTTTGAAAGTTGTGTCACAGGTAGACAGGGTGGTAAAGAAGGTGTTGGGCATGCTTGCCTTCATTGGACAGAACATTGAGTACATGATTTGGGATGTGATGTTGCTGTTGGACAGGATGTTGGTGTGGTCACTTTTGGAGTACTGTGTACAATTCTGGTCACCCTGCTCTAGGAAGGATATTATTGAACTGTAGAGGTTGCAGAAAAGATTTATGAGGACGTTACTGGGACTGGAGGGTTTAAGTTATAGGGAGAGGTTGGATAGGCTGGAACTTTTTCACTTGAGTGTAGGATGTTGAGGGGTGACCTTAAGGACATTTATAAAATCATCAGTGGCACAGATAAGGTCCTTTCCCCAGGGTAGTGGAGTTCAAAATTAGACGGCCTATTTTTAAGGTGAGATTTAAGGAGAAAGATTTAAAAAGGAACTGAGGCGCAATTTTTTTACGGAGTGGTTAGTGTATGGAATGAATTGCCAGAGGAAGTGGTGGATGCAAAGTACTGTTCCAACATTTAAAAGACATTTGGACAGGTACACGGATAGGAAAGGTTTAGAGGGAAATGAGCAAAATGCAGGTAAATGGGACTAGGTTGGTTTGGGAAACCTGGTCAGCATGGATGAAGGGCCTGTTTCCTTGCTGTATGACTCTATGACTCAAAAATTGATATACTTGAGCTCATGTGTCAATTTTGCTTAATTTGATGAAGTTCCCATTAAATGACAAACTTAACTATCACTGACCATTAGCTTTTCCTTCAAGTCATCTGTTATCTAATGATTTCTTTTTGCTTTTGCTGTGTTTGAATGCTTGGGAACAGTTTGTATTACCTTTATACTTTAAAGGCAAAATTAACACAGAAGGTCGGAAAATACTAATGCAGAAAATACTAATCTCAACAAATTATTACGGAGTTGTACATTAAAATCTAAAAGATTGTACAGTTGCAAACACATTGTTACAAAATTGACTGTAATATAAAAGCTATGCTTAATAAATTAAAATACACCAATACCTGTTTATTATTCCTTGTTAAGAGCTAATGAGCTGGGAGTACACTATCTCTGTCTTATTCAACCTTGGAAGTCTGAACTTGGGCTACACTTAAGCTAAACACGGGGTCCTCAATGTCACTATATCTCTGTAACATTAGATTATTTTCTTCACTCTGTTCACAATCCCATGGTGCGGTTCTTTATGAAAGGAAGCTAAACAGGATCACATGACATTTCAGTACCAAGATGTGCATTGGTTATACATAAGTGAACTAGTATAATCAAAAATAGAAGTTACTGAAGAAACACAGCTGGCCTGGCAGCATCTGTTGAGAGAAGACGGAGATAATGTTTTAAGTGCAACCATCCTTCTTCAGAAACTCTCTTTTCTCTATTTTCCCCACAGATGCTGCCAGGCCTGCTGAGAGTTTCTCCAGCTTTTCTGATTTTTGTTGTTTCAGATCTTCAGCATCTGCAGTTCTTTGACTTATTTCAGAATAATATAATATTAGATGAATCAACGAATATACCTTGTGTGATTATAAGTAGACTAAATCAACCCTGAAATGTTAGTTTTCTGTTTAATCCTATGATGTGTTGAAGGCACACTCAGAGTGCTATCAGGAAGGGAGTTCCAGGATTTTGACCAGTGATATAGTTCCAAGTCAAGGTATTATGTGGCTTGGAGGGGAATTTTCAAGTGATGTTCATCCCATGTATCTGCTGCCCTTTCCCTTCTCAGTGGAAGAGGTCACAGGTTTGGAACATAGCATTGAAAAATTCTTGGTAAGTTGCTGCAGTGCATTTGTGAATGGGCCACTTTGCTGCCACTAACATTAGTAATGGAGGGAGTAAAAGTTGAAGGTATGGATGAGGGCCATCTAAGCAGTCTGCTTTGTCCTGGATGGTGTCAAGCTTCTTGGGTGTTCCTGGGACTCAAATCATCAAGTTAGGTGAAGAATATTTCATCACCCTCCTGATTGTTGCCCTGTAGTTTGGGGAGTCAGAAGCTGAGTTATTCACTGCAGAATTCCTTGCTTCTAACTTGTTCTTCTAGCCATCATTAGTGATCATCCCCATTTCTGATGTTATCATGGAAGGGAAGGTCATTGATGAAGCACCTGAAGGTTGTCACTACCCTGAAGAACTCCTGCAGCCGCAACCATCTTTTTTTGGGCCAGGTATGATTTCAACCAGCAGAGAGTTTTCCTCCTGAATCCCATTGATATCAGTGTTGCTAGGACTCCTCAATGCCACAAAGATTACATGATTGGTAGCACCTTGTTATGAAGTTAACATTGGCAAAGCACAGCTCTGATGTTAAGTGCAGTCACTCTCACATTATTTCTTGCTCTTTTGCCCATGGTTGAACTAGGCAAAACCCAAACTGGGCATCAATGACCAGGTTATTGTTAAGCAAGAATTGCTTACTCTTTCCATCACTTTGCTGATTATTGAGAGTAGACTGAGAGTAATTGGCAGGTTGGATTTGTCTTTTTTGTGTACAGGAAATAGCTGGGCAATTTCACACATTATTGGGTAGGTTCAGTGTTGTTGCTATAATGGAACAGCTCAGTTAAGGGCACAAATAATTCATGATCACAAGTCTTCAGTATTATTGCCAGAATATCTTCACAGTCCACAGCCTTCGCAGTATTCAGTGCCTTCAACTATTTCTTGATATCATGTGGATTGAGTTGTTTTGGCTAAAGACCAGACAAAAACAAAACAAAGAATGCGGATGCTGGAAATCAGAAACTAAAACAGAAACTGTTGGACAAACTCAGCAGGTCTGGTGGCACCTGTGGACAGAAAGCAGAATTGAGGTTTCAAGCCCAGTGACCCTTCTTCAGACTGGAAACTAGATCAGCTTCTATAATGTTGAGCACCTTAGGAGCAGGCTGCGATGGATCACACGTTCAGCATTTTTGGCTGAAGATGGTTGCAAATGCTTCAGGTGTGCCTTTTGCCCTGATATACTGTGCTCCCCAATCATTTTGGATTGGAATATTCATGGAACCCCCTCCTCCTCCAGTTAGTTTATTATCTACCTCCATTCACAACTGAACTAGCATTGGTCCTCCAACTTGATAATGGTAGAGTAGAAGATATTCCAGGCAATGAGGTTATGGATTGTGATTGAATACAATTCTTCTGATGGCCCACATTACCACATGGATGCCCAGTTTTAAGCTATATATGTTTGAAATGTTTTCTTTATGTGACAGCATAAAGAGTAATGAAACCAGAGACTTGAGGTACAGTGAATTGATGTTCTTAAATAGTAGTAATTAACACTTAAATTGGATATGATATCACTCCTGTTTATATTCACAAAACCAACACCAAATGATATTATTGCAGTGGAGCTGTGAAGCATACTTTTTTTCTGCTAGTGTATCTCCATAAATATTAGTAGCTTAACGAAAAAGAACTGAATAGGATGATTGTATCCTTTTATGCATGTTAAGGCTCATGATTAAATCTCAGAGGAAAGTAATATAATGAGCTGATTTCTCTTTTTTGATTAAACTGTTTTGATGCGAATATTGGCAATCATAAGTGACTTTGAACATCAGTGTAAATTAATGACTTTAATGCAAAATCCATCATACAAAAGTAGTTTAATTTAAATCTGATATAAGCTATTAATTTTCTAATATCTACATTAAACATTAACTCTTTAGGAAGGGCAGCCTTCTATTATTAATAAATTTTCTACTTCACTTTAAAGCTTGTTCGTTCAGTGTTTAGCGATCTGAGAACTAGGCGACTGGGTACAAGAGGGTGTGCAAGGTAATGGCTTCACTTTCCTGATTATTATCTGAAAATAACATGCTAAATTTTCACTTTCACCTTGTCTTGATTACAGCTTAATGAGGTCCACATCATATCGATGATCCACTCCAACTTATTTCAGCTCAGATATTGAAAGTGAAAAATTACCCCACTTTTAAATGCTGGGAGCATATTTGTTCAAAATTTTATTTTGTATTTCATCAATCAACATCTTAAGAGCACTACCCGTGATAGGGTTAAGTAGAGCTTAGTTTTCAGAAATGCAATAACTCTTTTCTTTAGTGTTGCACAATGGACAAAGATAGTACAAAGAAAAATCATTTTGGTATGATTTTTTACTTCAACCTGTCTTCTGAAAATTAATGTTAAAGTTCAGTATCTGGGAGGATAAATTCAATTGCCCCTAAAACCTGGAATCCTGGAGCAAAATCTTGTAAGGGTATGAGTGATGCCTGTTTTGGCAAGTTGAGTGGCAGAATCACATGAGGAGTCCAACAAGGTCTGTCTCAATGTCAGAAACATCTCACTGCATCTCTTAAGCATCTGCCAAGCAGTGAAGTGAGATTCTTGCTAGGTTTCTCAAATCAGATTTCATGTAACTCATGTCTGGGGCTTTGTACCAATCCTGCCCAGCCAGAGGACACAGTTTAATCCTCCGAACTCTGCTCCCAACAACTGGAGGACACATCAAGGCTATGGGATGGATGGTGATGATCTGTGAGAGCTGCAACGTTGTTCTGAGTAAGAAGATAAAGATATTGTTCGGATGCAACAGCATCTTCAGTACCCTACAGTTTGGAGAGTCAGCCAAAGCAGCACAGACAGGATTTCCTTGTGAACTTCATTCAATGGAACTGAGTTGTGTGAAGTCATCTTTCATTGACTGCAATGTCTTGATGCTTCTGAGGCCAGCACCCTCAGTATAGCCCCAACCAAATTTCTTAACACTTAATAATTCTGTGTGGTTCATGCTGTTTAAGAAAACTTAAGGTTACAAACAGATGGAAACCTTCTTAGCATGTGATGCACCCTTATTCAATCATAACAAAGTTTCATGCTAGTGTGGACCACTATGGGAAGGATAGCTCTTGTTCGGGTAGGCTTAGAATACAGTGTAGTGCTAAGGATGGCTAGTCTCCGTACCTTCAACTTTTATTTGCAGCTAAAATAACATTTACTCATGTAGCTGATGATGGAAGTGAACTTATCTTTACAAATGTGATAACGAATTAGTCGTCTTCTTCCTTTCTCTCCAACTACATCTGTGTGCAGTCCTGGTGTCTGCAGCTGCAGTGAGAGGTGCCTGCCCTACAATGGAGCCTGTTGGCCCTGGAGTTTTGGTTGAGCAGCCCAGGGGACCTTTGTAGCTTAGAGGGACCAGTCATATTGAGTTGGTCCTACTAAGATTCAGGTTCACCCTTCTCAGCTTGAACTCCCACCAAGTTGCACGTAGCAGAAAGGTTGAAGGTCCAGCCATCTGGAGTGTGCTGAATGGAGACTTCCAAGGGCACCGTATGTGGGTCCTCCTCTGGCTGTCACCACCCTGTTCCTTTAGGAGGAAAAGGCAGCTGGAGAGAATACCACACTGACTCAAGTGGCAATTCTGGGCCAGGCAGCAGGATCTGGTGCCATGGTCTCCTCTGGCAGCTGTTAGGAAATAGAACAATCCTCCCCTGCACCACACCATCCTTGTCGACAATGTATGCTGTGAACTTGCCTCTGTCCGCTATCTCTGGGGCAAATCGCAAGAACAACACAGCCAACATCTAGATTTTAAAAGTGGCACTGACACCAGGAATCCTGGGAGGTTCAGCAGGTAGGTAATTCTGCCTCTGTTGAGAGAGAAGGTACCATGAGTGGAATGCTATAAAAGTGTGTTTATAGATAATGAGGTTATAGTGTTGTGGAGAATAACATGAGAAAACATGCTAGGGCTCATGGAGAGAAACACTCCATAAAACTTGCCAAAAATTGTCCCAACCAGTTTTTGGTAATATTCAGCCTGTATGAATCTGAACCAGTGTATGAGTCATGTGAGAATGTAATATCCTCTGAGGACTCCTTAACTTCCTCCCATTCAAGCTCCTATGTCACCATTGAGGGATTTGTGTCAGATAAAATACATGAGCTTGAACTGATATGGGAAAGATATTCAAAATAATCTTGACGTAGATGTTTTCATTTCAGTTTTTCATGTTAGCGAGTATATTTTAGTGATATGAGCCAAGAGGCAGTATGAAATGCAATTCTGAGGCTGTGTATCTGGGAGATTCCCCCTCTGCCTGTATCACTCCTTCACCAATGGCTACATATTCTACCATTGACCTCCTAATCTTCTTGCTTCACAGTGATCAGGGTGGCTGTCACTGGTGGGCCCCTCCTCTTCTCTGTATCTCCCTCGAGTCTGTGTTCTCTTCTGCAGGGAGAGAAAGTGGAGAGTTACAGAGTGTGAAAAATGGATTGTGTGAAAAGGTTGGAATTAGAACATTTTCACGGAGGGCTGGGTGTATGGTGGCAAGATGAGAGTCTGTGTTGGCTATTCAGATGCGAATATAAGGAAGTGACTCATGAGAGAGGGATGAGAGGAACTGCAAGGTGTATTGGTTTGAGAGGTGCTGTCAGGGGGAAGCTGGGGGACTGAGAGTGTGGGCATTGGCACATGAAAATGGAATGTCACATACCTCTCCTGCTCTCCTGAGGTCATTGAATCTCTTGCAGCACTGAATCCAGCTGCAAAGGATCATATTCCTGCTGCTTATTTTGTTGGATATTTCCACAGTCATTCTTGCTTGGTTTGAGTGGATGGCCTTTCTTCTTTACTGCCTGTATCTCATTGCCTGCAACCTCACCTCCAGGGCAGAGTCAGGGAAACAGGGAATAGCCTCCCACATCTTGCTTCCATTGTTATGAAGTCTTAATATTCAATCTGCAATTTTATACGATTCTGATTCTGGCAATGATCCTTTTCATTAGAAATCATCAAGTCTGGGTTGTCATCATGCTATTGCTCTGTGATTGATTAGTAAACCCCCGAATGGAATGCTATGCTGTGACTGAGTTCAACAGTAATAGAAAAAACCTCACTTAAGTTCCCAGCCTGCAAGCTAGCTCCCCTTGCCCAATCGCAAGTGGGTTGATTGTATTAGTATTCTACCCAGAGACGTTGTTGAGCGAGTAGGTTAGGCAGACAGAGGTATAATACTAAATTTATCATTTCAGTTGTAAAATGGACTGTTGGGCCTCTTTTCCATCACCATCACAGACTTGATGATACAACTTTAGTTAGAAGCTTTATTACCAATGAACACAATCAATATTGTGAATTTGTATTATCATATACTCTTTTAATTTCATTTGATTATTTCCTTAATGAAATAACTGCACTAAGGCCAATATCCTATCACCAAGTCACCCTTTATTTACTTGTGCACAGTACACTGGTTGTGGCCAGGCAGCTCGGAGTCAGTCCTTGAACTGCGGAGATTCTAATCTCCGAGTTATATTGGCACTCTGGTCTCTGCCCTACCAATGCAGCTATGTTGGCATCCAATCCCAGCCACGAGACATAGTTTCTTTTAACATCTTCATCTTGGAAACCCCTGGATGACCCAGGTGGAGTTCAGCCAGTGTCTGGCAGCGACCTTTACTCAGGACAATCACCTTTGCTCCCCACAGTGATATGCCATCCTGTACAGAGATCTGGTCTTGCTGGGTCCAGAAAGGTTTCAATCCAGGTTGTGATGGTCATCTGTTTCCCCCATTACCACCAGCTGTTCAGTTTCACTAGGACAGGATCTTTTTGTGTCCACAGTTAGATATTGTCCACGGTGACTGGAAAGGAGTCCATGAAGTTCAAAACCAAAATGGACTGTTCCAGGGAGGTGCCACTGGTGGAATATCTGCCAGTGGGAGGCAGATTAAGGCATCCGCACTAGCCCCTTGGCTTCTGGGACGGTGTTCAAACTTGTACGTGCTGAGAGTAAGGGCCCAACTCTGAATTCTTATCTTCCTTCAGTAGCCCTAGCAGAGGTTTGTGAACTGTTACTATGACAAATTCCCATCTGCAAAGATACTAGTGGAACTTGCTTACACCAAAGATGATCACTAAACCTTCCTTCTCTATCTGGGCATATTGCGTTTGGCATCAGCTAAAGTCTGGGAAGCGTACGCTATCAGGCTTACTCTCTGTTGGGTCACTGTTGAGCCAACACTAACCCGGTACCATGTGAGAAGGTATCGTATGTCAGCACTGCCTCTCACTTCAGATTGTAATGGGCCAACACCTTACATGACGATAGATGTTTTTCCACTTCCTTAAAGGCTACTTCTTGGCTACACGACCATTTCCAAAGCTGACACTTTTTCAACAAGATGGAGGCCATGTTATATATGAATTTTCTGTAATAATTCACTAACCCAAGGAAGCTAAGCTCCGGTACAGATGTGGGAGCTGGGACTCCTTTGATTGCCCTCACTTTCTCACAACGGGTGTAATCCAGTTTTGTTGACTCCGTAACCCAAGTAGATCACTTGGGGCACCTGGAACACACAATATTTCCCTTATAAGGCGTACGCCCACCTGGGAGAAACGTTTAAGCATTATGTCCAAGTTCTCCAAATGCTCTTTATTAGTCTTCCATGTTATTAGGACGTCATCCAGTTAAATGGCAACCTGGGATAGCCCTTGTAAAATGTTCTCCATAATCCACTGGAAAAGGGTGCAGGTTAATGATACCCCATATAGTAGTCTTTTATATTGATATAAATACTTATGGGTATTAATTGTAGCATACTTCTGGGACTCTTCATCTAGTTGCGATTGCAGGTAAGTATGGCTCATGTCCAGCTTTGTAAAAGGATAGCTCCCTCCCCCAACTTTATGCACAAGTCCCCTACACAAGGGATTGGGTATTTATCCAGCTGTGAGAAGCTGTGAGAACTGAGCCATATCGGAATGACCGGTGCTGCCCATTCTGCAAACTGCATTGGTTTGATGATTCCTTCGCTCTCCAGCCTCCTGATTTCTGCCTCTACTTTTGCCTGGAAGCCAAATGGCACCAGGTGAGCCTTGTAAAATCTCAGAATTGCTTCCTGGTTGACATGTAAAGTGGCTTTGGTCCCTTTGATCGTCCTAAGCCCTTCTTGAAATACTCCCAGGTATTTCACTAGGACTTCACTGAGGCAGCCATCTTCTAATAGAAAAATGTTGAGCCAATCTAGGTGAATCTTTCTCAACCAATTCTGCCTCAATAGACTTGGGCCCAAGCTTTTTACTACCATCAGTGATAACTGCACCAACTACTTCTCATAGGAGACCGGAACCGAATCGGCACGATTCCCCGGTATGTTCTCAGTCTGGCTGAGGTCTTGTGCAAACTTAACAGTTGGAGTCCTGAGCAAATCTTGTTAAAGACATATTCTGCAACCACAGATACAGCTGTGCTGGTATCGACCTCCGTGGGAACTGGGTGACCATTCAACCAAACATTCATTTTAATCGGTTACAATTTGGATGTCGCTGAACAATTTAATTGTTCCAACCCACGTGTAGGGGGACAGTCCAGGGTGTGCACTCACCGGGGTACTGGTCTATGAGATTTCTTACTCAAGTCAGGCCTTTGCTGTCTCGAGTCTGCATAGAGGCAGCAACTACAATGGCTTCCCAGCCCAACTTTTTAGCCACTTGGCCGATGCTCAGCTTTGTTGGGGGTGTTCTGCTGTGGGCTGGCCTAGGGTCCCTCTGCTCAGGATATGTCCTGTGTGACGCTGTGCGATTGCTTACACTCAAGTCGTGTTCCCCAAGCTCAGTCAGAGAGGTGGGGGAGCCCACTTCCATTGAGATGCCCTGTGGCTCCACTTGCTAATTTTTTAATCACAACGCCAGTTGTAATGCCTCTTTGAAGTCCAGTTGGTCTTCAGCTAGTAGATGCTTTTGCATGGTTACATCATTAATCCTGCTATTGAAGACTGGGCCCAGGTTGTGGAAAGAATGCGATTTTTTTCTGGGCAAATGACATTTGGGCAGATGAAAAGCAACAAGTAATCCTTCCGACTGCTTGCAGACTCACAGCGTTCTCGGTTATAAGGGGCTTAACTTTCCTAGAGGCTTGCCACAGACACAACACACAACATCAGTCACAATACATCAAAAGCAAGTAACTGAAAGCAAAACCCCGTTAACAAAGAACATCGTACAGAAAATCATGCCAGTCCAAACAGTAGATTCTAGTCCACATAAGATAAGTGTCCCAAATGCAAGAAGTGGCAAGGTCACTGTACATCAGGCAATTCACCAAAGAGCAGAGACATTGACATAAAATACCATATAGAAACACAGTTCAGTTCAAACAGTAGTACAAAATCTTACAAACAACAAGCGCATAGTCTCAATCACAATGCCTCGAAGACAAATCATGTTAATAGAGAACATCCTAAAAAAATTTCAGTTCAAACAGTAGCTTCAAGTTGACATAAGATAACTGTCTCAAACACGACACATAGCAAGGTCACTGTACATCAGGTAATTCACCAAAGAACAGAGACATTAATATGAAATATCATACAGAAACATAGTTTAGTTCAAATGGTAGTACAAAACCGCAGACAAACACACGGTCCCCAGAGCTATCCGTCAGCCTCCTACACACAACAGGAATGCACAAAGACATGATACATGTACAAAAGCATAATCCAGACACAAAGACATGGTCCAACACACACTGAGGCATGGTCTGACACATGCCAAGGCACAGTCTACCCATAAAGGGCTAGTACACTCACAAAGGTACAATGCACTCATGAAGACAGGGTACATTCACAAAAGCACAGTACACCCACGAAGGCACGGTACACTCACAAAAGTACGGTACATCCACAAAGTCACAGTAAACCCACGAAGGCACGGTACATCTACCAAAGCATGGTACATCGACAAAGGCCCAGTTCACACACAAAGGCAGAGTACACTCATGAAGGCACAGTACATCCATAAAAGCACAGTACACCCATGAAGGCCTGGTCCACACACAAAATGTCAGTCTAGGACCCATACACTAAAGCAGTGGCACAAAGGTCAGATCCTGTTACCAAACCTTCCATTCACTTCACCAATACAATAGTATCACTGGCTGGAACCAGCCAACTCAAAAATCAGTTGTCAAAAACAGCAGTACCACTGGCTGTGGCCAGCCAGCTCAGAGTCAGTCGTCTGAACTGAGGAGATTCTAATCTCCTGGTTACATTCGTCAGCCAGAGCTTTCCTGATTGGCCCAGGTTAACAACTCGAATCAACAACTTCATAGTCAATGAGGTATTGCTGGTTCCAATCACTACACTAAATTTAATTTATTACTTTAATTATTTTTGTTTGGAATTGTTGAGCAAATACTGACCTATATCCTCATCTAACTTATGTAAAACATATCAATTTATTTTCAAAAGCAGTATACTGCATGATACCACAATTTGAGAAAAATAGCATTACCTTTACAGAACAGATCATTGTTTTTACAGATATCATTATGAAGGAATACGTGTGAGACCACATTCTCATCTGTATGGTCGATATTCATCTCTGATGACCAATAAACAATTTGAAAGGTAAAATAACAGTTGTTTATGAAGTTGGTAATTAGCTAATGAATTTAAACATGAAGGAAAGGATTTGTGTAGTTGGGGTGAGGACATTAAATTGCCTCTGTTTCCTTTTAATTATCTCCATGGGTTTCTGAGCGTAGCTCTGCCGCCAGCTGTAAGAAATGCATTTGTTTTCAGCAAAGCTGCCAGTTTCTCTGCCTTATTTTAATGAAGACTTCCAATTCTGTCCACTTCCATCTTTCCTCCTGTTAGCAAAGTTAAAATGTGAAGTTTATAATCTTCTGGAATCCAGGTCCCCAATCTACAAAAGTGACACAAAATCTTAAAGATAGATTGGAAAAGAAAGGTCATTGCCCTGCCCCAGCATTGTATAACCATACAGTCATATAATTTCCTAGGAAAAATGAAGAAATAAGAATATAAACATCACAAATAAACTCTGGGAAATGCCTCTCCAATCTCATAAGGTGAGTTTCCATGGACAAGGCTAACTGAGTGACGTGGCCCTGAGCCACAAGAGGAGCTATACTGTGAAATAAATAATGAATATTTCCCTGATCCAACAATAATCTGTTTTATGATTGGACGTTTGATTAATCTGTCAACAGAAGCAAAACCCTAAAGATTGGTTTTACAGATCTTCCTGTGAAGTATATGGACAATGCTCCTGGAAGCCAGGATTCTATGCTCGCTTCATTTTCTGGAGCAGGCTAAAAGTTAATCCCATGATCTCTTGCCTTTTGTCTTCTTTCAATATTCATTTTGGAGATGAGGTCAGTATGATAAAAATAACCTGGAATTTCAGCCACAAAAAACCCCGATGGCAACAAAATAGCTCCAATCACCTCACCAAATTTTCGCCAGTTACTTGCATTTATGGCCTGAAAAGGCAAAATTGGCAAAAGAAAAGGGTTAGATACATTGTTGTGCAGTTTGATCCTTCAGTGGTGAATTTGTGCTGGAAAATCTGATTCAATTATGCCCAAAAAAGACATATGGTGAATCGTAGGATTAGTTCACATAGGTAACAACAACATACATTGTGATAGGAAAGAAGTTCTACTGAGGGAATATGAGCAGTTCAGGGCTAAATTGAAAAGCAGAAACATAAAGTAATAAGCACAGGATTGCTATCTGAGCCATATGCATATTCGTGTACGGTAAATAAGATTAGACAGGTAAATAAGCGGCTTAATGATTGGTGTGGGAGAAATGGCTTCTGATTCATTGGGCACTGGCTCAGTACCAATGAAAGAGCCAGCTGTTCCAGTGGGACATGTTTCATGTGGAATATGGTGGAATCAGTGTCCGGGCAAAACATTCAACTAGGGTTGTCTATTCAGCCTTAAACTGACTTGGAGGAGGGGTGGTTAATTGAGGGGAAGTTAAAAAAAAATCAAAAATAAATGACAGAGCAATGGTGCAGGGTAGTGAAGAGGATATTCCAAGTGTGACGGTAAGGAGGTGGGAAACATAATCAGAAGAGTGCAGCAGAAATCAGAACCCAAGTGAATAATAATAATTAAAAAGTCAAAATTTAAAACTCTCTTCTGAATGCACACAATATTTATGATAAAATAGGTGAGTTGACAGCACAGATGCAAACAGATTATTTAGTAGAGTAGACCAGGCAGATAATTTAAACCAATACTTTGCAAAAGTCTCATAGTGAAGGACACTATAAACATCTCAAAGATATCAGATAAGTAAGTTACTAATGGGAGGAAAGGTCTTGTGATAGTTTCTATCACAGAGGACAAAGTATTTGACAAACAAATGGAACTAAAAGCAGACAGCTCACCAGGACATGATGGTCTGCATTCAAGGTTTGTAAAGGAAGTGGTTGCAGAGATTGAGGAGGCATTGGTTGATATGTTCCAGAATTCAGTGGATTCTGGGAGGGTTCCAGTGGATTGGTTAACCATTAATGTGATACCCCTGTTCAAGAACGGAGGGAGACAGAATGCAGGAAATTATAGGCTAGTTAGTCTATCAGTGGTTGGAAGTCAATTTCTAAAGTCCATTTTTGAGGAAGAAATAGCAGGATACTTGGAAAAGCCTAACACAATCAAACAGGGTCAACATGATATTTTTGACAAATTTGCTAGAGTTCTTTGAGTTTATACAAGCAGAGTCAGTATAGGGAAGCTGGTAGGTGTAATGTGTTCGGATTTCCAGAAGGCATCCAATAAGGTGCCACATAAGACATTATTGCACAAGATGGTTGTTCACAATATTAGGAGTAATGTATTGGTATGAATTGAGGATTGGTCAATGTACAGAGACAGAGAGGTTGGAATATTGTAATGAGTGGAGTGCCACAATGATCAGTCTTATGGCCTCAAATCTTTACCGTATATATTAATGATTTGGAGGATGGAGCAGAGTATTATGCATCCAATATTGCTGATGTTACAAAACTTGTCGTGAGGACATGTGATGAGACATAAATAAGCTACAAGAGGATATAAATAGGTTGAATGGAGTTTCATGTAGGAAAGTGTGAAGTCATGTACTTTGATAGGAAGGATCAAAAGACAGACTATTATCTAAACTCCAGAAAAATGCAGCTTAGAGGAATTTGGCTGTTCTCGTGCATAAAATATATAAAGTCAGCATGTAGGTGCAGAAAATAATTAAGAATGCGAATGCAATTTTGGCCTTTATTGCTAGGGGGTTGGAGTTTAAAAGTAGGAACACTTGTTATATCTGTACAGAGTGCTGGTGGGGAGTACTGCATATAGCTGTGGCCCCCTTATTTAAGAAATGATATACTGGCATTGGAGGTGATTTTTTTAAAAAAAATCACTATGTTGATAGACGTTGATTTGTCAATGAATGCCTCAACAGCTGAGGCCTTTACTCATGAGAGTTTAGAGGAATGAGGGGTGATTTTATTTAAATATACAAAATTCTGAGGGGACTTGATAGGGTAAATGATGAGAAGGTGTTTCCACTATTGGGGCAGTGTCAAACGAGGAGACATAGTTGCAGATTAAGGTGACATTCATTTTAAACTCTGATGTGAAGGAATTTCTTCTCTCAGAGGGTCGTGAATACCTGGAATTATCTACCCCAGAGAGTTGTGGAGGCTAGATCATAGAAAGTGTTTGAAGACGAGATAGATTTTTGAAATGCTGAGAAATTGAGAGCTCTGAGGAGCTGGCATGAAAGAAGACTTCAGGCCTGGGGCAGATCAGCCATGACCTTATAGAATGATGGGGTAGGTTTGAGGAGATGAATGGCTTATTTCTTATATTCTTAAAAGCATGTGATCTGTCAGATGATTGGCACCATAGTAATTTTGATACCAGGGACACACACGCACACACACACACACACTGACATACATACAAAATAGGTTCCGTGTGATCCCTTTGTGGTTTGTAGACTACATTTCAGATTAATTTAGTACGTGTATGCTCCGTCAGGTCTCAATAGAATCTACTTTAAAAAAATATTGTGAAACGTGAAAAAAATCAATCCACAACAAATGAAGGAAGATGCAAATGTAACAGAATCATCCTCCATATTTAACCTTAAATGCTGCCAAATATTTGTATGGATTGGAGTTGTGTCTGTATTTGCTGACACTGGAACTATACGCAACAGATTCCTATCACTACTGGAAGAATTACTGCGCACCTTGTTGTTTGTAATAACAATAGCCAAAGGATATTTAGTATGAGTCTGTAAGCATTTGAAAATTAGCAAAATCTAATTATATTTGCATAGGCTGATTACATAATCATTGGAAGAAGTTTATATTAAAACATAAACGTAATTTTTGAAAAAAACTTTACATTTTACACAAATATAAGATTTCTGTTATTGTATCAAGTACATTCATCCCAGCAGAACTAATCTGCAATGTCTTGTTCTAGTTTATCAAATTCAATCTTGTCAATGACTTTACAGAAGAATGGAGGTACTATAATTAACTATTCAACTGTATTGCTAGGGGCAGTCATGGAGCAGAACAACAGTGTTGGGCAATAATGAAGAGGCACAAATAGTGGATGTACAATTTTCTGAAAACTGCTGTATCACAAACCAGGCCAGGCTGTGTTTATAAATGCACGTTACAATGTTACAAATGTATAGACTGTGAATCATTATGATCAATATGACGTAGTCATACGTAGTTACTGACGAGATATCCGGAACTGCACATTGCCTAACAGTTAACCGTATTGACATTTGGACTTTATAAAGAGTTAAATATTGAACTTTAAACTGGGAAAATGGAGCTGATCTGCTAATTATGTGTATTAGATGGCTTTATTCTTCAATGTGCAATCCGGCTGCAACATTTGATTTAACAGTATTGATAATTATAATTCAAACATACTTCCAAAAGTAGTTCAAAAGTACAAGATGTACAGCACCTTGGAACATCCAGCAAACTTTTCTTCAATCCAATAATATAAAGATGCTTCTCTTTTCTTTTCCAAAACCTAGTTTAGATTTTTCTAGCTTGGAAAGAGAAAGTTTCTTCACTGTCAATAACAAGTGCAGAAAGGTTTGTAAATAAAATAATTTTTTTGCAGTGTTCACATATCTAGCCACAGTTATATAAGGTAGATGTTCCACTAGAAACACTATTTCTTTATTTGAAAATATGTACCTGAAACACTTGCACATTAGCTGACCTCTCAGGTGTTATATTTCCAATTTATTGATTTGTAGAAGTCCTAACCCAACTTTCTAGAAATAGACCATTTTTATTGCAAGTATATCGATAAAAACTAATGCATATATATTGCAGAGATGAGCAATGTAAATATCGAGACTTAGTAACAAGTTGAAGTATTTCAGATACATGCAGTCAAAGGGATAGGAGCCAGTGGTGAGTTGAAAGAGACAGCTTTTGGTGAAGCACAGAAGAAAGAAAACAGTATAATTGGAATCGAAGGAGTTGTAACCTTTTGGCTGGAAGTCTCTTCCAGTTGCTGATTCAGGACTTCCCCTCAACTGAACTTGGGTTGTTCAGCCCAGCAACAGCAGTTCAGGTAGTCATCCTTGGACATGCCAAACAGCCTATACAGTATTGGGATGTTATGTAGTCCATAATTTTAATATGTGCAATGCTACATGACTGCCTCACCAAGCTGCATGACGTCATTGCCTGCTCCACCACTCAATTAGATCATGGTTGATCTGTATTTTAATTCAATTCAACTACCTTGGTTCCATATGCCTTAGCACCTTTGCCTAACAAAATTCTCAGATTTAAAGTTTTCTATTAACTTAGCCGCAATGGTTCTGATAAGCAACTAAACATTGGTCTAAAGGAACATAAAGATTAGTTTGAAAACTTACCGGCTAGCTGTTCCCACGCACAATTGTTTCAGAGATAGCAGGAACTGCAGATGTTGGAGAATCTGAGATAACAAGGTGTAGAGCTGGATGAACACAGCAGGCCAAGCAGCATCAGAGGAGCAGGAAGGCTGACGTTTCGGGCCTAGACCCTTCTTCATCTCAGCTCTACACCTTGTTATCCCACACACAATTGGTTGGTTTGACTCAGTCAGTGGGGTTGTTACTGCTCTATGTTCAATTCAAATAGCCAATGATGTCATCAAAACCCAATCTGTGCATTTAAAGAGTATTCAGGCAGCTAGGAGGTCAGTGTTATTGCACCTGAAGTTAAGCTTGGTAACATTGGCACTGGACAATGTGGACAAGTAGCCTACTACATTTTAATTGTTTTCTGTCAAGCAGATGAGTTAAAATGTGGCCCAAACTTCAGAGCAAACCTTCAGAGATATGCGACATGTTTCCCAAATAAACTATTGGCACATGCTATAGGTGTGACATTGATTTAGCAGAATGCCATACAACAATGTGACCATCCCCTTGACTGAACCTTGCTGACAACCATGACAAGCTGCTGGCTTTGTGCCTGCATTAAAAGGGAAGGCAAGGCAGACATACTGTGAGCCTGTGAGTTTTGAATAAGGAGACAAAACACAAAAATGCAAGGCAAGGCGCAAAATGGGTGAGCACAAGAGAGCATGTGAAGAGCCCTGAGGTGCACCAGCACTGATCATGAGAAGGGTATCTCTCTCTGTATATATAGTGGCCTGGCAGCAGCATTACAATGAAAGGAGTCAGTGCGCTCCAAAGTGCAGCACTGAAGTGGAGAACTGTAACCCAAGTGAGTTCAAAATGTACCATGATAATGTTGTGAGGCTGATGCATGTCCAATGCCAACGTCTGTGATTGGAGCTACTGTGGGATGGGAGAGCAGGTGGTTGCTACCTATGGAGCGTTCCTTAAGATATTAGGGACTGCTGGCAAGAATGAAGTCCAGAGGAACATAAGGTGAACCAAGTACCTACTCTGACCTTCCTGTAAGGAATTGTGGCTGCCAAATTTCTCTCCACTGCATGGGACAATAGCAACTGCAGATAGGTGAATGAGAAGACAGAATAGTGAGATGTAAATGCACGCAAATTGACCTTGCACTACTCACCAGCGATATTCCCAACATACCTTTCAAACCTTGGGTGGAAAATTGGATTTTTTTCTCATGTCAAGATCTCATTTTTCCAATTTTGTCATATTTTCCCAACTGACTTATACCATTGTCCACGTCATTCAGGTACTGGAGAAATTTAGTTGTATGTCTCAGATAGTACTGTAATTACTCATAGCAGACTAATTCTGACGTTCGGGAGGATTTCTCTTACCTGATTTATCCTGAAATTGGATGGGATTGTGACAAAGATTGATACTTTGGATGGGGATGGTGATACTTATCACTGCTACATCTAAACGTGAACAGGAACATGGCCTCCAGAGAATTTTCCACATGTTCATCATACCTAACATGTGAAAGATAGCTGTAGACTTCAGGAAGTAGTGGCAAAGACATTGAAATTACTCAATAAAGAGGGAGAGTGCAGTAGTACACATACCTTGAATACATGCCGAGACCTTCAGTGAACAACTGTTCTGAGATTTTGAGCAGTTCTTCTCTTTTTAAGATCTGTTCCAGTTTAAAAATCCCTCCCTGTGGCACCATTTCCACCTCCACACAGCAGATTGCCTCTAGACAGTGAAAATTCTGCCATGCTTAATAAGTGAATCATAATTCTTGAAATGAATTGGATTTTGAAGATTAGAGAAGATAGGCAGGTCCCATCCTATCAGGTTTCCATCTCTTCCATGTTGTGTATTTTGATTTTCCTTCTTGAGTTTTCTTATATGGGGGGTTTCAGGCTTTTGCATTGCAAATCCAGCTTTTGTAAAAGTTCATGTACAGTATTTATCCATAATAAACTGGGTCTTAGGCAAATAGTATGTATGGCCCTCATTGCAAGAGGGATACCTCACTGTAGTTTTAAAGGGCCTTGGTAAGATCACACCTAGAATATTGTGTGCAGTTTTGGTCTCCCTACCTAAGAGAGAATATACTTGCCATAGACGGACTGCAGTGGATGTTTACTAGATTGACACTGTGGATAGCAGGACTATCAAATGAGAGAGAGATTGGTTTGATTCTCTATTCTGTATTCTCTAAAGTTTGGAAGGATGAGAGGGGATCTGATTGAAACATAGACAATTTTGACCTGGCTGGACAGACTAGATGAGGGAGGATGTTTTTCCCAGTTAGGGAGTCTAGCACCAGGGCGCACAGTCTCAGGATATAGAGTAGGCCATTTAGGACTGAGATGAGGAAAAAAATTCTTCATTCATTTGGTGGTCAACCTGTGGAATTTGCTACTACAGAAGGCTGTGAAGGTCAAGTCACTGAGTCTATTCAAGAAAGGGATTGACAAATGTTTAGATATTAAAGGCATCAATGGGTATGAAGAGAAAGTAGGAATATGGTATTGAGATAGAAGATCAACTATGATCATGCTGAATGGCAGAGTAGGCTTAAGGGACCACATGGCGAAGTCCTCCTCCTAGTTTCTATCCTCTTCTGGAAGCAGATTTGTTAGTTAGATGAATGATTGACTGTTTCGTCTATTCCTATTACTTTCCATTAGCTTAGCCATATAAGGACATTTTCCTGTCCTTCTATGATTTCTACCCTGTAAGATCAGTTTGCTGCGATTACTTGCTGGAGAATTTTGTTTGTTATGACACCCTCTGGAACAGATACTTGAACCCAGGCCTTCTTGCCCAGAGTTGGGAAACGACATTGCTCCGAACGCATAGCTAATCTATTAAGTCTTTCTTTATTTAGACAAACACATGAGCAGGCAGGGAATAGAAGGGATACGGACAATGTGCAGGTAGATGGGACAGTTTAGAATGGTGAGCCGAAGGCATGTTCTATGTTATATAATTGCATTAACCTATTGCTAACATGACTAGGAAATATAATCATTTACTGTTGCTGGTTCAGACAAAGCTTTCAACAAAGAGTAGACCCCAGGAGACATTGTTGATGTTGAGATGGAGGTCATTATTTAAAAATTTATTTGCATTTTGAGTTTGACTGGCACACCTGTTTTGTACATTAAATGATTTTGTACAGTAAATGATTATATTTCCTAGTCATGTTAGCAATAGGTTAATGCAATTTTTCTGAAGAAGGATCTAGGCCCGAAATGTCAGCCTTCCTGTTCCACTGATGTTGCTTGGCCTGCTGTGTTCATCCAGCTCTACACCTTGTTATCTCTACACTTGTTTTGTACTCATGTTTCACTTTCTCTGAGGGAGGGGCACAATCAGATTCAAATCATCCTTGTAGCAGTCAGCCTGTGTCCAAGACCATGTTATGCACCACACAAAACAAGGGTTTGTTGTTTACAGTCTCCTCCACCTTTATTCCAGTGTTTACGGTTAAATTGCATTGACATTTAAATATTCGTCATTGTTGTATTCTCATTTCTTGTGCTCATTGACGTCCACTCAGAATCAATTAAACAATCCTCCCAAGAAGTGTAAAGATCTCTTTATAATTAATTCTGATGTGGAGGTGCCAGTGTTGAACTGGCGCAGACAAAGTCAGAGGTCACACGACACCAGGTTATAGTCCAACAGGTTTATTTGAAATCACAAGCTTTCAGAGTGTAGCCCTTTCGTCACACCTGACAAAGGGGCTACACGCTGAAAGCTTGTGATTTCAAATAAACCTGTTGGACTGTAACCTGGTGTCGTGAGACCAATAATTAATTCAACATTTCAGGCCAACTTCATCTCCCAAACTGTTTACGAGAATCTTATCCCCTCCTGGAAAGCTTACACCAGAGAATTTTCTCCAGTTTTTCACTTTGGTATGCTCTCCTTCCAACTTCCAACACAAGCCTTTCAATTATTTATTTACTGAATTATTTTGCTGATCGCAGTCAAAGAAGGTAGCAATCCTGAAATCACAACTTCCCATCTTTCCTCTTGAGTTTGCCTATAATAATAATTTTAGTGATAATTCATCTACAAAATAGAGTGCATTTCATTCATAAATATCTTTGCTTCCACTTTAAAATCAAAATTATAGCAATAACATTTAACAGCACTTTCAGTGCATAACGAAGTAAGCTGCAGAGTGGGAGTAATGCCATTCTATTTTACAAATTTTGACTCACATATGTTAGGTTACTGTTTCGATTAGTTAATTATCTATACTATGTATTAAATTGTGTAACTGATTAAATTCTGAGGACATTAGAAAATACATTCTTCATTTGTTTTACTTGATGCTAAGCAATACTTGCCAACGCATGTGAACTACTAAATGTTATTAATGTCATTATTATTAATAATAAAGACAGAAAAAAATTCTGGCTCTACGTGCGAATTAACTCGGTTTACCTCCTGGGAACAAGAACTGGAAAAAAAATATTCTACTCAAATGGTAAGTATTCATTTTTTATCCTTATCCACCCAGTATTTCCCTTAAATTATCCTTCTTATGTCTGTGCCAACAAAAGGATCTTGACTTATTTTCTATTGCTTTCTTAGTTTGCTGTAGTTGCAGATTTATATTATAACCACTGCCAAGAAATCCTGCAGCATATTAGAAGCAACGAACTTGACAAGGTATGTAATTCTTGTAAAAATCTCAAACAGACATAGCATGGAAAACTTTTTTAGTCAATAAACATAAATATGGAACCCAGTTTGTAAGGCAACCAAAGGCTCAGGAAGAGTTTACTTTTACAATTTGACTTTACTTCTCACGTAAGAATTTGTGTGTATTCTCTTCACAAGTCTTAGTGTGGTACAGTGGCACACACAGGAAAAAGGTAGAGGTCACAAGAGGACAGCATTTACGTTAATGCAACAACATTGCTGACAAAATATTGGTAGAAGTTGAGATCACAGAAATAACAGATGGCATGAAAATGGATAAGCAGATACTATTGGAAAGACTGGTCATTCTTAAAGTGGAGGAGCCATCAGGCTGGGTGGCTTGCATTGCAAGTCACTAGGGGAAGTACAGGATTTACATATATTTGGAAAGGCAAGGAATGATTAGGGATAATTAACATGACTTTGTGCGTGGGACATTGTGTCTCACGAACTTGATTCAGTTTTTGAAGAAGTAGCGAAGAGGATTGATGAAGGCAGAGCGGTGGACGTTGTCTATGTGAACTTCAGAAAGGCGTTTGACAAAGTTCTGTATGGTAGACTGGTTAACAAGGTTAGATCACATAGAGTACAAGGAGAAATAAGCATTTGGACCCAAAATTGGCTCAAAGGTAGGAGACAGAGGGTTGCTTTTCGGACTGAAGGCCTGTGACCAGTGGTGTGCCACAAGGATCGGTGCTCAGTCCACTGCTTTTTGACATTTACATAAATGTTTCGGCTGTGAATACAGGACATATAGTTAGTAAGTTCGCAGATAACACCAAAATCAGTAGTGTAGTGGACAGCCAAGAACGTTACCTCAGAGTACAACAAGACCTTAATCACATAGGCTGAAGAATGGAGTTTCATCTAAATAAATGTGAGGTGCTACAGTTTGGTAGAGCAAATCAGGACAGGACTTATGCACTTAATGGTAAGGTCCTGGAGAGTTTTGACAAACAAAGAGACCGTGGAGTGCAGGTTCATAGTTCCTTGAAAATGGTGTCTCAGGTAGACAGGGTAGTGAAGAAGGCGTTTGGTATGCTTGCCTTTATTGGTCAGTGCACTGAGTATAGGAGTTGGAAGGTCGTGTTGTGGCTGTACAGGCCACTTTTGGAATATTGCATTCAATTCTGGTCTCCCTGCTATAGGAAAGATGTTGTTAAACTTGAAAGGGTTCAGAAAAGATTTAGAAGGATGTTGCCAGGGTTGGAGGGTTTGAGCTATAGGGACAGGCAGAATAGGCTGGGGCTACCTTTCCTGGGTGACCTTGTACAAGTTTATAAAATCATGAGGGCCATGGATAGGGTGAATAGTCAAGGTATTTTCCCCAGTGTAGGGGAGTCCAAAACTAGAGAGCATAGGTTTAAGGTGAGGGGGGAAAAATTTAAATGGGACCTATGGGGAAACTTTTCATTGCAGAGGGTGGTGCATGTATGGAACAAACTGCCAGAGGAAGTGGTGGAGGCTGGTACAATTATAACATTTAAAAGGCATCTGGATGGGTACAAGAATAGGAAGGGTTTAGAGGGATATGGGCCACATGCTGGCAAATGGGACTAGATTAATTTAGGATAAATGGTTGGCATGGACAAGTTGGACTGAAGAGTCTGTTTCCGTGCTGTACGGCTCTATGACTTAATGACTCTAAGTAGGGGTAGGGATAACAGAGGAGCTTGCCTTAAACTTTTAATCTTTCCTAGATACAAGAAAAGATGCCAGAAAGTTGTAAAGTTGTAAATGTTACATACTTATTCAAGAAAGGGCGTAACAAGTAACCACTCATCCACTAGTTTGATATTGGTTCTGAAGAAAAGCGATATTGACTTGAAATGTTAACTCTGTAACTCTCTCCACAGATGCTGCCAGACCTGCTGAATTTCTTCAGCATTTTCTCTTTTTATTTCACATTTCCAGCATTTGCAATACTTTGCTTTTATTTAGTTTAATATTAGTGGTGGATAAGGTTTTAGGAATAATAATTAAGGAAAAAAATTAACAGCAATTTGGTGTTAGTTTGAGTAGTTAATCACAGCCGGCAAAAGACAAATTGTATCAGAGATAGTAGGAACTGCAGATGCTGGAGAATCTGAGATAACAAGGTATAGAGCTGGAGGAACGCAGCAGGCCAAGCAGCATCATTGGAGCAGGAAGGATATGTACTCTTTTCTGGTGAAATAACAGAGAGGGCTAATGCTGGTGAATGAGGTGAATGTTAACTATTCACATTTTAGAAAGTGTTTGACAAAGTTCGACATAACAGATTGATTATCAAAATTGAAGTTCATGGAACACGAGGTCAATGTGAGTTTGGATAAAAATGTTGGCCTAAGAATAAAAGCAGTGGTACAGGCAGTCAGTCCCTAAGTTGTAAACAAGTTCTGTTCTCGAGTCTGTTTACAAGTCAATTGTACACAAGTCAAAACTTAATGCCGAACAATGTAAAATAGTCGTTCATAACTACAAGGCAATGTTCCCATGTTGGAATTTTAAATTAATACAACCGTGTATGGGACCATATTCCTAAGTACAAGTGTTATAAGTGAGATGTTCATACGTTGGGACCCCCTGTAAATTGTTATTTTTCAGAGAGGGGGTCATTGATAAGGCTGTTGCCCAGAGGTCAATGCTAGGTTGCAAACCTGCAAACAGTGACAGCAATATTAATCAACTGCATAGGACATAGATGGGCAGACAAATGGCAGGTGGAATTTAGTACAGGGTAGTCGGAAATGATCCATTTTAATGGAAAGGACAGAGAGAGGTCATACAGACTCAAATGGCACAGTCCTAAATGGTCTGCAAGGATGGAAGGATCTGGGGGTCATATGCCTAGACCTTTGAAGGTGGCAGGAATCTATTGATATTGCAGTTAGTAAAATATATGGGATGTTGGGCTTCATAGACATATTGGGCACAAAATAAAATAAGTTATTCTAAAACTGTACAAAGCTCTGCTTGGGCCACTTTGAGGGTACTACATCCAATTCTGGTCACCATGCTTAAGGAAATATATGTAGATCCTTGTGAGGTGCATAGGACATACCCAAATGATCTCAGGCATATAAAAGTTTAGCTACAAGGATTTGCTGGAGAAGCTGGCATTGCTGTCCTTCGAGTGAATGTATTTTGAGAAGAGATTTGATAGATGTGTAAACAATTAATGTTTGGATGGCACAATGACTAGGGGACACAGATTTAAGATCCATTCAAGAGATACAGGAAAGATGTGTGGAAGGATATTTTACATAGTCGAGATCATGTTCTTTACCTCACTGCTTTCACAGGCGATGCAAGCAGAGACTTGCAGTGATTTCAAAAGGAAATTGAATGGGTTCTGAAGGGAGGCACATATGCAGGATATGAGAATAAAGCAGGGGAATGGGACTCCCTGGATTGGCCGACAAAGAGTCAGCTTGGATTTGATGAATGAAATGACCTCCTATGTGTCATAATCTATCTATTTTTCCACAATCGTTGAAGTCCTGCTGTTGGGATTGGCAGCAGGATGTACTCATGTTGCTGCCAGCTGTCGGACCTGGTGAGACATATTGCCAGTGTTCAATCAGAAGCCTGTAGTTGCTGTGCCAACTAGCAGTGACCATTGCTAAGGATACAATAGCAAGAAGACGGCACCTCAAAGGCTGAGGCACCCTCGAGGAAGGGTAGGTGAATTTAGGGGGATGTTGGGGCCAGACAGGCCATTGTGGCCAGTAGGATCCCTCTAAGGGCCCAAAAAGGAGGACTCCCACACCCTGAGCACTCTGGGAGAACGCAGGATTACAATGGGTGGAGACAGAGAAGTTGTTCAATTGTGCTCCCAGTGGATTGTCTACCAGCCACCTTTCCTGTTGCTGGCAAATGGGATGTCAGCAAAGAGACATCAGACATGCCTCCCTATACCTTCCTATCATTCTTAGCCTTCCTGACTCCCAGTGCATCACCTAACGTTTGGTAAATTCTAGTCAATGACTCTGCGACACCTTAGGCATGAGTAACAGTTGAGGCATAACTGACTATGACTGAGAAGGTTAGGCTTTTTAAAAATTTGTGTAACAAAATATTGATAACCCTTTTTCGTTCATTAGTGTCAGTCTTGGTTCAAGAGGCAGCGTTCTTGCCTCAAGGTCAATTCCATAAAAGGAAATACGTAGCCTTTAGTGTAATATCCAGGGAGTGCTACACTTCAGGAGGTCTCATCTTTTGAATCAGATGTTAAACTAATGCCCCATCTGTCCTCTCAATAGATTATGGCACTCCCTCCCATGACTCCAACCAGTAAAAAAAGGAAAGTAGAACTGTTGTAACAACACCAACATTTTCAAGTCCCCTCTGAGTCACATGTCAGTGTGATTTTGCCACATGTCACTTATTCCTTTATTGTAATAGACTTAATATCTTAGAATTTCGCACCTAATACCATCCTAACACCTGCAGCTGTATAATTGGAGGAAGGCCACCATCAAGCCCAGACCAAGTCGAATGGACAAATATATGTTGTCTTGACAATGGCACCAGAACCTGGAGAACAATTCACAAGTGCTTCAACCTTTGTTGCATAAAGATGCTGGAGATAATTATTCTTATGACTAATACTCTGTTTGGAAGTAGAAAACAGCAAGTGTTACAAGGCCAATTCACAATGAATTTCTTATTCCTTTCAAAAAAACCTTCAAGCCTTTACCTTTTGCCTTGTCTGTAATACCCTACCTTAATCTAAGCATTCTTCTTCCCTTTTCTCCTACTCCATGTCCAGCATTCAAATGCTTTCTTGAGTATGACTCGTACAATATAAATGTAAATTGTTAATCCAGCTCAATGCACAATCAATGCTTCAAACATTGCTTATTTAACAGAAAGGAATAGTAACTTATCTCTGTTGAGCATGTTAAGCAGTGTTGTCAGGCAGGTTATAGCGAGGAGAGGCAATGGTCTACTGGTATTATCACTAGATTACTAATCCAGAAACCCTGGTAATGTCCTGGGGACCCAAGTTCAAATCCCACCATAGCAGATGGAATTCAATGTGGAGAAAAGAAATCTGGAATTAGGAGTCTAATAATGGCCATGAATCATTGTCATTTGTTGGAAAAACACATCTGGTTCACTTAATACAGTGTGGAGTTGGAGAACGTAACAGGTCAGGGAGGAGCAGGAAAGCCAACATTTTGGGTTTGCACTCTCTATCGGGACTGGTAAAGATGTAGTGATGGCATTGTATGTGAACGACTCCCAGAACAACAAAAGGAGACTTCTGACCTACAATACAATTATAAACCTGAAACGTCGCCTTTCCTGCTCCTCTGATGCTGCCTGACCTGCTATGTTCCTCTAGCTCCACAATGTGTTGACTCAGACTCAAGCATCTGCAGTTCTTCCAATCTCCATCTGGTTCACTAATGTCCTTTAGGGAAGAAAACTGCAGTCCTTACCTGGTCTGGCCTACATGTGACTCCAGATTGATAGCAAGGTGGTTGACTCTTAAACTGCCCTCTGGGCAATTAGAGATGGGCAATAAATACTGGCCTGGCCAGCAATGCCCTCATTCATGAATGAATAATAAAAAACTATAGTAAAAAAAAATTTTGTTATTTTCAAGAACAAGAACCAATGTTTTTTCTGCTTGACAGTAGAATGAGTAAGAAGCCAATTTTCTGTAGTGCTATTTTAGCAGATGTGCAAATAGTATATATCATATAGTGATGCCAACTCAAATTGCAAGAAGTTTGCAAATATTAGCAGTTTGCCTGAAGAAAAATGTTTTCAATGTAGAAAGCTGTCAATATAATATATATTTATATGTTATTGTAGGTCAGAAGTCTCCTTTTGTTGTTCTGGGAGTCATTCACATACAATGCTATTGCTACATCTTTCCCAGATATATGCCAGCTTTTCTGCTCTTATGATGCACAACTGTACAAGGTAATTAAGAATTCTTACTGGCAGAAAGGTAGCATATGAGCTTCCTGATGGCAATATATTAAACATACCATAGATCGCAACATACAAGTCAACATTTGAAGCCTTGAAAATTCGTTTCAAAAGCAGGGCTTGAGTGTAAAATGTAAACCACTGGTGCTGGTGTAGGTGACCCATTTTGAAATACCAAGAAAAACACTGACAATTCAAAACAAATCAATGTGAAATGGTCTACTGAATGAATGAATTCTACAAGGATATCTTTATCCACAATCAAAACATTTTAAGAACCATCAAATTAATTGTCTTTGGAAATAAATACAAAGAATTAATTGAATTCATTCCGAGTTAGTTTGGTTATGGCATCATCTCTGGATTCTTCTCTGGACTAGATTTGATGCTTTCAGCTTCAGAATCATCCCCTCATTTCCCCAACAAAAATTATCTTTCTTTCCATTCACTGAATTGGACGTTCTGCATTTTTTTGAACAATCTGATGACAGTTCGTGCCTTCATAGCATCCCATAATTTGAGGGTGAATCCACCTATTCATGAAACTTACATTGAGTTTCTGTGGAACAGTGCAGCAATCAAAGGTCAAAAGGGTCAGTGTGAAAAAGTGGAATATAAAAAACCACTCAGTGTCAGGTTTGCGGGCAAAATGGAGGGGTCTCTCAAAGCGGCCACCCAGTCTTTGTTGGTCACCTCAGTATAGGGAAAACCACACCATGAACAGTGAATACAGCATTCTAGATTGGAAGAAGTACGTCATACTTCACCTGGAAGGAATGTTTGGAGCCTAGGTCAGTGAAGAAAGAGAAGGTTAGAGAGTAGCTATTACAACTCCTGTGTCCAAAGGTTGAACTCCAGGGGTTGTATCCTCCCCTTTCCCAGTATATCTGCAATTTTGGGTGATTTCTTCATAGGCACCCCATGTTCTCTTCCATTATATGGGGTCCAAACACTGATAACCTGTGTTCCTTGTTTAGATCACCAGGATGTCTATTCCACACTTTATTGAAATACAGCTTCACTCCTTCTTCATCTATCCAACCTTTGTCATGGATATGCACAAAATCTCTTGCAGGGAATTTGATTTTCAGTATGGTTTCATGTTTATAAATACCAAAACCCTGTCCCCTTCCCACAGCACCATTCCGTGCAAGCAGAAAAATTGTAATTGCTGCCCTCCTTTCTCTTCACTGACCTAGACTCCAAACATTCCTTCCAGGTGAAGCAGTAATATATGTGTTCTTCCAATCTAAAATACTGTATTCACTATGCATAGTGTGGTTTTCCCTACATCAGAGTGACCAAACAAAGACTGGGTGGCCACTTTGCAAAATCCCTCCAGTCTGTCCACAAACCTGGCACTGAGCTGTTATTTTTATATTCCACTTTGCTTTTCACACTGACCTTTCTGAACTTTGCCTGCTGCACTCTTCCAATGTAAGTCAATGCATGTTTCAGGAACAGCACTTCATCTTTCAACTAGGCACTTAACATTGAGTTCAGCAATTTCAGTCCACAAATTCTATTACCCATTTTGATTCCTTTACTTTGCTCGATTTAGTTATTTTCTCTCTTTCAGCCAACAGCACACCCGCTCAGCACATCTTTTGTTTCTTTGTTTCTTTTCTTGTCCTATTTCCATTCCCTTCAGCCCTGGTGGACTAACTCTTCTGTCATTCAGGCTCTCCTGCCTTTCACCCTAATACAGACCGTCCTTTTGTCTTTGTCCCACCCACCACTTGCTCAAGACCTATTAACATCTCTAACTTTATACTGTTCTGATGGAGTGTAAAACATCAGTCACAAATCTGAAATGTTAACTGTTTCCCTTTCAACACAGATGCTGCCTAATCAGCTGTGTTTTCTCCAGCATTTTCTACTTTTACACCAGCTAACTGTTGCTCCAAAATTATTGCTGGACTCAAGAGTTTGATTTGGCTTATTTAAATGCAAATTTGCACATAATGTTTCTGATGTAACTATCCTGACAATTTTCAACATCCCATTTTGATACATATTTCTTAGTGGCTGGTTCCGTTTTTTTTACAGTGCATTTGGTCTTGAGAGAAGCTTCACCAGTTTTTCCTACTAACACCCAAATCTCTCACTTTAGCACCATTATTTGATGTGTTAATTAGCAAATTTTCGCCTTTAGCTTGAAGTCTGCCTCATACTTCATTCTGTTTACTGAAGGACTCTTTTCTGTTTGGTGTATGCTGTGTGCAATCTGCTCTGTGTGAGGGTGTCCCAAACTGCCCTACAACTTCTTGGCAATACAGCACCAATCACCATAATAATAATGATGCTTTATTTTTCTTTTCCTCCTTTTTAAATTATTCTTTTTCTTTCAATCATCCTTGTGCATAGCATATGCCATACCCCAGTGAAGACTCTGGGAGACCTACTGTCCTCTCTTTTGCTTCTGATCATTAAGAGATAAAGTAAACAGATAAGGAGGCAACTTACCTTTCACCGGCATCTCCATTAATGCTGGCTCAAGATCAGAAATTGGTTGTGAATTTTAAAATACATCCTATAATCCTCCCAAATATGTTGTTGCCTCACATGCTGTTTCTGTTGTTTATTTTTGGTTAATAGCTGAACTCACTTTAAATATGTGTTCATTTTATTTGATTGCTGTTCAGTTTAGATTTAATAACAGCATCCTCCAAGTGAAGGGCAACATGAAAGTGCTTATTTACTGTAATATTTTAACATTTTATTGTTCTGGTCTTCTGATGTTGTTTTCTTTCAATACTTTTGCATCATAATGATAACGTGTTGTTTATGTAAAGCCGTGTCAAATTAACTGAGATCAAATGTAAATTTCATCATTGTTCTTTGACATGATGAAAAGTCTAGTTTAACCATTTTTTACCATGGCATATGTACTGTCTTAACAGATGATAGAAGAAATTCTTCTCCGTGATTTTCTTGGTGACTTTTCTGTGCAGCATCTTCAGAGTGCCAGATACTTTGCCAAAAAGTTTAAAAGTTGGCTAATTGAAGCACTGGAGGGCATACCTTTGCTACTACAATCAATGAAAATGAGAGGTATCTTTATAATTAATAAAGCTTTAAACATTACAGATTTATGACCCTAAGGCTATTTATCCAAGAATTAGCATCTCAGCTGAATCTAGTACTCAAACTTTTGTGACTCCATCACTTTTGGAAACCTATCCATTATCACACCTCGCTGCTATTTTCCATTGCCTCTGCCTCTGTGCTATTTTTCCCACTGCTGTTCAAGTTAATGTTAGCTTAATTTTAACTCTCACTCTACCACGTCAGAGGCTATAAACCTGAATGTACAATAATTGTTCACCATTATCTCTGCTGCAGTCACGTTAGGTTTTATCAGTCCTTACTCTCCTAAACCAAAATGCCGACTCCTCCAGGATCATCCTGTTCTTTCAAACCAAGCTGTTTCCTCCATCTCCTTTCTCCCATTACATCCAATGTACCTACTTCTGCCAATACCATCCCTACTTTTGCCCCACCTTGGCCTCCCATCCAGAGCAGGTCTTGACCCCTGCCATTTTATCATTTTCCTCCCATCTCTGAGTGGGCAAGTGCACAGCAGGTGCAGTATAGAATCTCTACAGTGTGGAAGCTGGCCATTCATCCAATTGAGTTTACACCAAACCTCTGAAGAACATCCCACCAGACCCATCCCTCTGTCCAATCCCTAGTAATCCTGCCTTTCCCATGGCTAACTCACCTAGACTGCACAACCCTAGACATTTGAGGTTTAGGGCAATTTAGCTTGGCCAATCCACCTAACCTGCATATCTTTGACTGTGGGAGGAAAACAGGGCACCCAGAGGAACCACACACACAGACACTGGGAAAATGTGCATTCTCCACACAGACAGTTGTCCGAGGGTGGAATCAAGCCTGGTTCCTGGAGTTGTGAGGAAGCAGTGCTAACCACTGAGCCACCGTGCCACATCAGTGCTTGTCCTCTCTAGGCTCGTTTCTTCAAAATGACCCATAGTTGTGTTTCAAGGATTTTTAAAACTATTTTTCTCCCAAAAGAAGTGGGAAACGAATTAGATTGTTCTGTGACTTTTTAAGATAAATTCAGCTAAAATGTGGTTTTTTGGCAATGCGATTGTAATTTAGACCTGTCCAGTATAGGTCAAAGGTATGGTAACTGTGTAATGTTTGTGTAAGCATCATATCTGCATGATTGTGATGTGGGCTGTGGGACCAGATAAACAAGTGATGCAAGTGGATGGGAGGAGATATTTCATTGTCCTGGGGCAGGGCCAGGAAATCCTCATATTCCACTCTTGGCAAAGAAGAGAAAAATGATCAGAAGGATCAGTTGTTCAAGCCTGGGCCTGGCAACATGGCAGCAGTAACTCAGGAAGTTTCAAGGTGTCATGTGATACTCTGGGAAGTGATTTGACAGTCACATGACATCTCCTTACCTACCACAGCACTACCCTCTTAAATTACTCAATGCACTACATCTTTATCACTCAATCAGAAACAATACCATTCCACTCAGAACCTGCACCAAAAGACCAGTGATTACACCTCATCCTGTTGTGGAGAAGGAAACTCTGGGACTATTACTGGCTATTAGGCACACTTTGAAGTATATGTCCACCATGAGTACAGGTAGACAGTGGGATATTCTGTTTGTGATCTCATGTGTGTGCAGAATAACTTTGGGATCATCACTTGTGACAACTTATGATTTATCCTTTTCTCATGAGTTGAGTACTACTTGACCAAAATATTTTTGAGTTAACAGTCATATTTGTTTTGTTTGTTTCTCCTCAGATTTGTGTGTGTGTGTGTGTGTGTGTGTGTTTGTTTATTCGCCAATAATCTTTGCAGTATTGTTTGAATACATTTGTCTTGGCAATAAACTACTTATTACTAAAAAGACATCTGATTCACTTGTTCTTAATGCTGAGCTTGATATAGCCTGAGATTGATTTATTTGGCCATATTACTGACCTGGTTAAATTTAAGGTTTGTTGCGACTAGTGTAAGAGTTTATCTAGAAAAAAGTGAGGTCAATCATAGCATTCTCAGGAATTATTAATGTCCGAAGTGAATGCTGATTATTTTCAACCTCATCCATAAAATACATCAATGCACAAAATAAAGACCATGTATTTCCGTTGATCACAGCAATAAATGAATGCTAATTTAAATAAAAAATCATAGTCGTGCAAAGCTTTAATTTATGACAACTTCCAGTACAAAAATGCTGTAGTTGTTCTCAAAAGGTCGAAAAGGAATTTATTGTTTTTACCTTACCTGTGTGTAAAGTTTGTTTTTGAGGCTTGGTTTTTTAAAAAATTTTTAGTCACAGTCTTATCCAATATTTGTGGTTTAGTACTATATTCTGTAAAATTGAGCATGCAATTCACACATGTCAGGGCAGCGCAGTCTATTAGTAACTACCAACCTCACCAAAGACCCCTGCTGGTCTTTTATGAATTAATATTTATCACAACATTGCAGTCTGTCATTGTACTGCATTCATCAATGATTTCAGATTGTCCTAAAATATTCATAGCTACAAAAAGGTGGTCTAGAATGACATTACAAAGTCTACTACTTGAAATTGATAACGTGAAACAATGCTATATTATATCCTAACACTCTGGTATACCGGCATGTTATGTAAAGAATTGCAAGCATTATCTTGTTTTGTTGCACTCTGATGGAGTACCTATGTTTCCATTTCTCTTCTATGAATGATGTATTTATTTTTTATTTTGTTTGCAAACATTTATCTAACATGACTTTTAACTATCTCAGCAGCAAATATGTTTGTCAATAGACTGAGAAGAAGAACTTGTATTTGTAATCTAGCAAAGGTAAGCTTCATATAATACAGAAAACACTTTATCAGTTTCGATATGTTAAATATAAAATTCCTGTAAGTTAAAAGATTAGATATAAAATCAGTTTCATGTCATGGTAGTCGTTTAATACAATTTCATCTCTTTTTTGTAACATTTTCTTCTTCCTTCTAATTTATGTATGTTATATGCTAACTTTGAGCAAACAGATAAATAACCGTCCAATTTCTAACACTGGTAGCCTTACAAAAGCATCCCAACAAAGTGCACCATAGATTTTCACTCCTTGTTTAGTGAGTGGGGAATTAGGTTGTGTTTCCTAGTGTTGCATTGAGATGGGTTTTTCATGTACAGACCAAACAAAAGAGGCCTGTCGGGGCTGAAATAAGCTCATAAGTGCTCCTGGGATGTACTTAAGAGGTTGTTAAGAACTTGGCAACATTTCTTAACTATATACAAGACAAGTAAGCTAAGGAAGAGCTCAACACAAAACCATCTAGAATCTTCTTCGAAGCCTCTAGTGGTATATGATCTGACATTACTGAAGATGTCATTTACATCTTTACTGTTAATGCTTTACATTACACCTTCTGTGTGGCACATTATCAAATGCCTTCTGGAAGTCTAGACATCCTGCATCTATAGGATCTCCGTTATCCATATTGCTTGTTACATCTTTGAAGAACTTTAGAAAATTAGTGAGACATCATTTACCCTTCATGAAATCATGTTGACTCTGATGGATTGTGTTTTGACTTTCCAAATATCCCATTGTTACTTCCTTATTAATGGATTCTGACAATTTCCCAATGATACATGTCGAACTCACTGTTTTATAATTTCCTACTTTCTACCTCCACCCCCCCTGCCTTTTAAATAAGGGCATTATATTAGCATCTTTCCAATCCACTGAAACATTTGTTGCTTCCATGGAATTTTGGAATATTATATCCAATGGCTTATCTCTCTGAAACTTCCTTTAAGATCTTGGGACGTAGGCCATTAGGCTCTGAGGACTTGTCTGCCTTCAGTCCCAATAGTTTGCTCATACATTTTCCCTAGTGATCATGATTGTTCTGAGTTTCGCCTTTTCTACACCATACTCTGCATTACCTGTTCCTATTAGGATGGTACTAGTGCCCTCCGCTGTGAAAACCAGAGCAAGATATTAATTTTGTGAATCTGTTCCTATTTGTGGAAGGCTCAAGAACAAGATGGCATGGAGTTAAGGTGTTTGGCAAAAGTTGTGGTGGCAACATGAAGGAAAACACTTTTTTCACATAGAGGCTGGTCAGTATCTAGATGCACTGCCTGACAGAATGATGGAGGCAGGTTTAATTGAGGCTTTCAATAGGGAATTATTTTGTAATCAGGGCTATGGGAGAATGTGAGGAAATGGCACAGGTATGTTGTTGTCAATGGAGAACCAGCTCAGAAGCGTCAGGCCAAATGATTTGAGCAATGGCTGAGGCTATGGTATATTTTGTAGAAAATGGTATTTAAAGATGCATTGACTCACCTTGACAACCTGTGTGACGTCTTTGAGCTCCTGCCATGCTATCTCAAAGTGTTCACGTCTTGATTCCTGACATTGATTCCATGGTTATCTGCTCCAACTGCCTTTGCACTGTATGCGTGGAGGGCCTCCTTCCCTTCCGCACAGAAGACATCTCCAGTCCTCATCACTTCCTCCATCAAGGTCTCCAGTGAGGTTTCTGAAAAACTGAAGCTCACTATGTCTGTTTTGCTAGCTCTCACTCTTTTTCAGACTAGATTCTTATTGACTACAGCTGCCACTTTCTGTTCTGTTCCAGCTACAATACAACTCCCCTTTAAGCAGTACAGGTTAATTTTAAGTGGTGGTGGTCAAACGCCTTATGCTTCCAGCCAATCAACAGTATTGTTAGAGCATTGTCTAGACACAGAGGTCATTCAAAATTGACATGCTGCCTGCATTGCAATCAATCAGTGTGAGTTAATCATGCATCATGATTCCTGTGCCTATTGTCAGAGAATATCCAGTTTAGCCCCAGTATGTTTAATTTTAAGGGAATTCATCAGTATAGAATATTTATTTTTACTTTCTACTGGTATTTGTTTCCAGAGGTTACTGGTGGTTGAATATATGACAATTGTGAAGCTCCAGACAGTCTGAAGAAAACAAATTATTATATATCTTACTTTGCTGCTGGGTTAGTTTGAATTGTAACTGAGGTTAAATTTCAGAACTTACTGAAATCGACTATGATTAATCTAATTCATTTTATGTGAAATCATGATAACACTGAGGTGTGGATTTTTCTGGGATTTTGGGAACTATTTTGGCGGGACTGTACATACAAACATGCAAAATAGGAACAGGAATAGGCTATTTGGTCCCTCAAGCTGTTCAACAATTCAATGAGATCGTGGTGATCTGACTGTGGCCTCAACTCCACTTTCCTAACTATTCTCTATATCCTTTGGCTCCTTTGTCAATCAAGAATTTACCTAACTCAGCCTTTAGAACTTTCAATGACCCCGCTGCCACTGCTCTCTATGAGTAAGAGAGTTCCCCAGATCAAGAGAGAAAATAAATCTCCTAATTTTCATTGTAAATAGGAGATACCTTACTTTTAAAGTGTTTTAACTTTTAAACCCTTGTTCTAGTCTTTCCCAGAAGGGAAACATCCTCTCAATATCCACTCTGTCAATTCCCCTCAGGATCTCACATTTTTCAATAAGATCACTTCTCAATCTACTAAACACCAATGTATGCAGACCTAAATTGTCTAATCTTTCCTCATAAGATAATTCCTCCATCCCAGGAATCAAATGAGTCAATCTTTTCTGAACAGCTTCTAATGCTATTATGTCCTTTCACAAGTGAGGAGGCCAAAGCTGTAACTGGAATTGCACATGTAGTCTCACCAATACCATATACAACTGCAGAAAATTTCCCTCCTTTTATGCGCTAACTTTTTGCCCACTCACTTAACCTAAGTCCCTTTGTAAATGTATTTGCCATCCTCCTATCTATCTTTGAGTCATCAAAAAATTTAGCAACCATTTATTCATCTTCATTCATATATGACATTCATCTAGGTTAATTATAGAGATGGTATCTAATACCACCACCTGCAAGTTCCCCTTCAAGCTACTCACCATCCAAACTTGGAAATATAGTGTTGTTCCTTCACTGTCACTGGGTTAAAATCCTGGAATTCACTCCCTAACAGCATTGTGGGTCAACCCACAGCACATGGATTGCAACACTTCAAGAAGGCAGCTCACCACCACTTTCTCAAGGGCAAATAGGGATGGGCAATAAATGCTGGCCAGCCAGTGATGGCCACGTTCACAAATGAATCAAAAAAATTTATGTTGTACAGATTATAAATAGGATTGAGGCCCCAGCACTGATGCTTGTGGCACTTCACAGGTCACTTCTTGCCAACCCAAAAATTATCAATTTATCTTTGTTCTCTTCGTCTCTATCCTTATTCTCTGTTTCCTTGGAGCTGGCCATTCCTTGATCTATGCCAATGTATTACAACATACATCAATGAGGGATTCAAAAGAAATACCTCAAAATTCGAAACAAGGCCTGACACCAAAGCCTGATCATGTAAGTCTGAACTATCAGGGAGATTACTACACAATAAAACCAAAAGAACTGCGGATGCTGTAAATTGGGAACAAAAACAAATTTTCTGGAAAAGCTCAGCAGGTCGGACAGCATCTCTGAAGGAAAAAACAGAGTTAACGTTTTGGGTCTGGTGACCCTTGGGGAGATTACTACAACGGTCATCTGCTCTGAGTATTCCACGCTGCTTTGTAAAATCTACTGCCAACTCCACATTCAAATTTTGGGAAATACAATGAGATGGAGTAGGAAAATCTACCAAAAATTACAGGCAATGACCAGTCACATGCTGGAATGGTGGACAGGACTGACAATCCTAACAGAGAGAGTGAAATTTCAGTCAGCCAATGAACAGTAGGCCTTAGTGCTCAACCTTCAAGACATTCTCTATTTCCATCCCACCCAATTTTGGACAAGACCATGAAGATGAATTCCTCCCAGATATCGAGCTGACTGATTGTGCATGCCATATTGACTTAACTGTCACTTAAAACTTTGAAAGAATCAACATTAGTGATCAAAAGTACAACAGCAAATGAAATTATAGGCATCATGTGTAGTAATTCTCCATGTTTTCATTTTAAATATATTCATGATTTGTTTTCTATTTTAGAGCATGCATATAGTTTTGAATAATCATAGAATGATCAGCACCCTAAGAACTGACCTGCGTGCTATTATAAGTCAGGGACTGTTGAATATCCCCAGCAAATCCACAAAAACATTCAATTGTTCACTGGAAGAAATAGGCTGTAGTTTTGAATGGAAATGTAAGTACATTGTTTTTGCTTGATTCCTCAAGGAGGTTTCTATATATAATTTATATAAATCTGCTTATGACAGAAAGGCAGTTATAGAATGTACAGGTGAAATTTCACGCAGCTCATAGTAGTTACACAATATCATTATTGTGAATATACAGTGATTGTACGATAATAAATTCTATCAATAGAGCAGAATTAAGTCTATATTGATTTTATTTAAGAAAATAAATAGAATTGATGACTTCCACCTTTAATTTCAAATTAATGAGTTAAAATTCCTTTGGGTGCTATTTCGAAACACTCATAAATAGGCTTGAATCAAACTTTGTAACACATTTGTCACATTTCACTGTTTTATCGCTTTTCCGTCGGAAAGTGTGTTTTTCATTGACATGCTCTAAAACACAGTGAATTCGCATGAGTTTAATAAAGGAGGTCATAAATTGCAGGCAATTGCAAAAATGGTATTAGAAACAGACATGAATAATTATACCCAGAATGACCAGAAATAATAAGGGAAGTGTTAGCTCATCTCAAACTTCTCTAACAAAACATTCTTACCATAGATGGAATTCTGTTGAACTATATAAAGCTAATTTATAGTATAAAATAGTTTGATTAGCAGTTAGTCTGGTCAACACCCACATGCATAGTCAGGTTTTGTTAAAGGTTGTGAGTGCTTTCGCTGAAGCAGGTTCAAAATTAGTGGGCTGGGGATGTTGTTATAAAATTACTGGTGGTTATAAAAACACTGGGCTGGGGATTTTGTTATAAAATTTCTGGGGGAGTTATATAAACACTGAGCTGGACAGGGGAGTGTTGTGAAAAATCTCACTGCAGCTACAGCAGCAATAGGAGCTTTGGCAGGCAAGCAGCCTGTAGGCTGAGCAGCCACTGCTACGCCCTGTTCTGAGTGCCAGAAGACCCAGTTCGGCAGCAGCCAGGAAACAGTAAGAACGATACTCAGGCCTTGGTCCCTGGAACTGTGTAGCAGGAGAGGCTGAGCAGAATACGAAGGAAGGTAAGGGAGGGAGAGCAGGCAGGCAGTTGTGTGCTCAGGTGGTTGTAGGTCAGGTTACTGTTACCATCGTGAAAGTGTGCTAGCACAGCCTTCAGCCGCCTGAGGAAAAGGGCGTTCAAGAACAACAACATCAGATCCAATGCCAAGATCATGCTTTACAGAGTTGTAGTGGTTCCTGCTCTCCTACATGGCTCTGAAACATGGACCATCTACAGCAGACATCTCAAGACACTGGAGCAGTACTAGCAATGTTGCCTGTGCAAGATCCTGCCAATCCTGGGAAGAAGGACGCACTAACACCAGAGTCCTTGACCAGGCCAACATCTCCAGCATTGAGGCACTGACCACACTTGAACAACTGTGATAGTATGGGCATGTCGTCCACATGACCGACAGATTTCACCCCCCCACCCCAAGCAGGTGCTCTACTCCCAGCTTCGAAACAGCAGGCAAGCCCCAGGTGGACAGAGGAAGCGCTTCAGTGATACCCTCAAGGCCTTGCTGGCAAAGTGCGGCATTCCTACGTACACCTGGGAATCACTGACCCAAGACTGTCCAAAGTGGAGGCAGGGCATCTGGGAAGGCATCGAGCACCTCGAGACTTGCCATCGGGAAAATGTGGAAGCTAGGTAAAATCAACATAAGGAGCATGCTGCCAACACCCCACCTACTCCTTCCTGCGACCACCTTCTGCCCCAAGTGTAACAGAGCCTGCAGAAGCTACATTGGTCTGTACAGCCACCTGCGGACTCACCTTGAGACTGGAAGAGAGTCATCCACGTCTGCAAGGGACCACCAATGATGATGATGATGATGATGATGATGAGGCAGGTTCAGTATTCAAAAATCCAGGTGGAACAGTTTGAATACCTCTTATAGAATCATTGGTGGACAGTATAAAAACTGAAACAACTGTGGATGCTGTAAATCAGTGGTGGATGGTATTGTGTCATGCTCTGCATTTGTATCATTCCATTAAGTAAATTTTGCCAAACGCAATAAGTGAATTTGATCAGAGAAACAGAGAAAATAGGAGCCAGAGTTAGGCCATTTGGCCCTTCAAGTCTGCTCCAACATCAATATGATCATGGTTGGTTTTCCAAATCAATACCCTGTACCTGTATTCTCCACATACCCTTTGATCCCTTCAGCCCTATACCTAACTCATTCTTGAAAACACTCAATGTTTTGGTCTCAACTGCTTTCTGTGACTGAGAATCCACAGGCTCAATACTCTCTGGGTGAACAAACTTAACGATGAGTGACAATAAGAGCTTCTTTAAATATATAAAAAGAAAGAAAGGTCAAAATGAATATAGGCCCTTAAAAAATAAATCTGGGGAGAAAGTTCTCAGAAACAAAGAAAAAGCAGAGGAGTTAAATGGATACTTCCCACTAATACCAAAGAATGGACGGAGGAATCAAGTACCAACACCATTACAATCACTAGAGAAGTAGTATTAAATAAACCATTGGAGCTAAAGGCAGGTAAGTCCCTTGGCCTTGATGGCTTGCATCCAAGGATCCTAATTCAGTAGCTACAGAGATAGTGCATGCATTGGTTGTAGTTTTCCAAAAATGCTTGGATTCTGGAAAAATACCAGAGAATTGGAAAACTGTCAATGTGACACCCTTATTCAAAAAGGGAGGCAAAAAGTGGGTAGGCCAATTAGCCTAATGTCTATTATTGGAAAATGTTGGAATCAACCATTAAGGTAGTATTAGCAGATCATTTAAAAAAAATTATAATCAACTCAACCAGAATCAGCATGGCTTCATGAAAGGAAAATCATGTCTGACAAATTTATTAGACTTTTTCGAGGAAATCATAACCAGAGTAGATACAGGGGAACCAGTCAATGTGTCCATTTGGACTTATAGAAGGCATTCAATAAGGTATCTTACAAAAGGTTAAGTCATAAGATAAGACTCCATGATGTTGGAGTAGTATATTGGTATGTATAAAAAAATGGCAATGGGCAGGAAATAGTGAATAGGGGCAAGATGCCTAGCCTGCTGTGCTCCTTCAGCTCCACACTGTCATCTCTGACTCCAGCATCGGCAGTTCTTACTATCTCTGAGTGAGTTATAACCCCACTGTGAAGCCTCTTCTAGGGATGCCGACCTTGAAGATGTTATCTTCCTCCCTCCGGAAAGACTTCAGTGGATCTCTCTCCCACTGCAACCCTCTGGTTATCTCTTCAGCCCTGAAACTGCTCGCCATCTTCTGTCCCACCTATCCGCTCCTCCCACCTCACTGACCAATCCCCACCTACACTCACCTATCACCATCCTACCTACCTTCCACAGCCCCACCCCTCCTGTCTCCATTTATTTCAGAGCTCCCTTCCCCTCCCCCATTTTTGAAGAAGGGTCCCGACCCAAAACGTCAACTTTCCTGTTCCTCTGATTCTGCTTGGCCTACTTGCTCCTCCAGCTCCACACTGTGTTATCTCTGACTCCAGCATTGGCAGTTCTTACTAACTCTGAATAGGGGCAAGAGGTTTTTTCAGATTGGCAACCTGCTACCAGCAGAGTTCCACAGGGATCAGTGTTGGGACCACAACTGTTTACAATACATATTAATGACTTTGAGGAAGGAAACGAAAGTACTATCGCCAAATTTTCAGTTGGAAGGGCAAGTTGTGAAGAGGATACGATAAGTTTACAGACAAATATTGATGTGTTAGGTTAGTGAGCAAAAAGATGGCAAATGGACTATAATGTGGGGAAATATGAAGTTGTTGATTTTGGAAGGGGGAGAAAAAGAACAGAGTGGTATTTAAATAGAGAAAAACTGCAGAAACCTGTAACACAAAGGCACTTGGGAGTACTTGTGTATGAAACACAGAAAGTTAGCATACAGGTGCAGTCTAACTGTAACTGTACAAAGTGCTGGTGAGACCACATCTGGAGTACTGTGAGCAATTTTGGTCCCCTTATTTAAGGAAAGATATCATTTCATTGGAGGCAATTCAGAGAAGGCTTACTCGAATGATCCCTGGTGTGGAAGGTTTGTTTTGCGAGCAAAGGCTTAACAGATTAGAGTTCAACTCACTGGAGTTTGGGTGATCTCAATGAAACATACAGGATTCTTAAGAGGATAAATCCTGAGAGGATGTTTCCCCTCACAGGAGAGTCTAGAACCAGAAGGCATAGTCTCAGAATAAAGGGGGACCAATTTAAGACTGAGATAAGTTGGAATTTCTTCTGTCGGAGGATTGTGACTCCTTGCCACAGAGAGCTGTGGGCTCAGAATTCTTGTGTATATTTCAGGCTGAGGTAGATTGTTGATCAGTAAGAGAATCAACAGTTACGGGGGAAAGGCAGCAAAGTGGACCTCAGGAATGTTGGATCAGCCAACATTGAATGGTGGAGCAGACTTGAGGGGTCAAAGGGCCGACTCCTGTTCCTATTCCATGTGATCTTATGGACTTACCTAATTGGCCTACTCTGTATCCTGAGACTGTGACCCCTGATTTTGAACTCCCATGTCATGACAGTTTCATGCATTTACCCTGTCTAGACCTGTTAGAATTTTATAGGTTTCCATAAGATATGAGATCCCCCTCATTCTTCTAAGCCACAATGGATATAGTCCTCACTGCTCCAGTCTCTCTCATACATCAGTCCTGCCATCTCAAGAATTAATCTGGTACACGCTCATTGCTCTCCCTCCAAAGCCAGAACATCTTTACTCAGTTAAGAAGACCAAAACTACACACAGTACTCTAGGTGTACTCTCACCAAGGCCCTGCACAATTGCAGTAAGACCACCCTGCTCCTGTACTTGAAGGCCAATGTACCATTTGCCTGCTACACCCACAAGCTTACTTTCAGTAACAGGTATACAAGGACACTAACGTCTTGTTGCACTTTCCCCTTTCGCAATTTATCACCATTCAAAAGAATGACTCTGAATGCCCAACTTAGTATGAAATAAAGCAGCTTAGCAATTCATTTAAACCTCACCATTCCTAGAGAGAACTTTGTCAACTGAAGAAGAGAAAAGGAAGGCTTGCACTTAAAAAGTGCTTGTCTTGACCATTAGACAACTCAAAATTGTTTTACAGCCAATCAAACACTTTTGAAGTGCAGCTACAGTTGTAATGCAGTAAGTGTGGTAGTCAACTTGCATTTAGTAAACTTGCAAATAGTAATTGATAATGACAACATAATCTGTTCATGTGTTAATTGAGGAATATATATTGACCAGGAAGCTAGAGATAACTCCCCTGATCTTCTTTGAAATAATGCCATGAAATCTTCTATGTCTACCAGATCAGGTAGATCCCACTTCTCTTCTCAGCTTTGACAATGCTGAAGTATCCACGGTCAAGGCAGGATTACCTAATTTAATATTTTCATTTGGCATCAATTCAGCTAAGGGCATATCTTAGGTACCTGATGAAGTTTGAGAAATAAAAGTGATGCTGACAAGTTGCTCAGGAGCTGAAATGGTGCTAAATTACCTCGAACAGCTTTAATACTGCAAATCAGACTGGTATTTTTCAAAGGTATTCATGTCAGAATCCATGTTTGGTTACTCAGGTGGACCCCTGTTGTACAACATCAGTATGAACTTGGTGTCCAAGTTGCTGAGTGGAAGTCACAAACATTAGCCCAGTATACTTGTCACATCATGAGTCACGTGTGGGGCAGTCAATCTTCATCTGCCCCAGGCTATAGATTAAAGACTTGTTGCTTCTCCTCTAGAAGGAAACCTAGCTATTCTGGGCCTTGCCTAATATTGCCCCCTGTCAGTTCTCTTCCACTGACTTTGACTCCCAATTCCATGACACCTGAGGCCCAAAATACATTGAAAGCCTTGCACTTTATTTGTTATAACGTACTCCTTTATATTCTTGAAGCTTTCGGCATTGGAGAGGATGTAGGAAAAACATATAAGTATGTTTCTGTGATGATAAAATTGAGTTATAAGGATAGATTGATGAAGCTAGGACTATTGTCCTTAGACTAGGTTGGGATAAGATGGTCAGATTTTCAAATGTCAAAACTGGGACACACTCCCCCTTGGTATAGACCCAAACACTGCCAGACAGATTATTTTTATACCTTCCCAGGTTTCAACTTGTAGCAGAGAGAGGTTTTTGGTGGGGTGTGAGGGTTGTTTCTGTTTACATTGTGAATGGTTCCGTCCATCTCAAGAGACTGGTGGACTTCAGACTGCAGTAGGCCAGGAGCAACCCACTGTTTGCATTCAGAGGGTGAGAGGATGGGAGAGAGAGCCACCTCTGCCCTCTCTATGGCTGAGCTGCCCTGCAACCCCCAGCATTTCACTCTGGGCTGGTAGTTGCTGCAACGGTGACTGTCAGTAAGTTTTACTAATGCTAGTTTGTAAACAATTATTCGATGCAACCAAATGAACCAGGGCTCCAAAAGGAATTGCCATCCTCAATAAAGGCAAATATCATCTGTATTGTGGCAATGCTACAGAGCATGAGTATTCAGAGTCCTGGGTGGCACACCTTTTGCCCCTCCATCGCCAATAGTAATAAACATGCATGAGGCCAGTAGGGCAGCCAGACAGTATTCAAGGTCTGGGTCCACCCCCCAGACCACGACGTCACCTCTGAACTGGCATTTTGCAAATGTACGGTCTCAGCACTGGAGACTGGACATAATCAGCATCCCAGGCACCTAAATTGTCAAATTTGCTAGAGAGTTTTCAAGTTCTCCACCCCTAATGTGTAGAAATAAATCAATACCAAGATGGTGAGGATTCTTTTGCCTGATAATCAAAGGCCAGGGTAATGTCCATTCTCCAGGTTGTCCAAAATGGGAAAAGCTGAAAAATTGAACTATTTTTGGTAAATTGTAAGGACACCAGTGCATTTAGTGAAATTTCAAGTTTGTCCCAGCAGATATGCGTATCTAACAACCTAGGCTGGGAGGAGATTTAATTGATATTTTTATAATTATGAAGGGTACAGAGTGGATAACATAGAAACAGAAAATAGGAACAGAAGTAGGCCATTGAACCCTTTGAGACTGCTCTGCCATTTCATATGATCACAGCAGATATCTAACTCTGTATCCTGTTCCCGTTTTCTCCCCATATCCTTTGATCTCTTCAGCCACAAGGCTTATACCTAATTAATAAGGAGTAACTATTCTCAGAGGACACTGATTTAAAGTAATTAGTAAAAGAACTAGAGGTGACATGAGGAAAAACATTTTTACACAATGAATAGCTAGAACCTGGAATATACTATTTGAGAGTGTGGTGGAGGCAGATTTAATTGTGGTTTTCAGAAAGACATTGGATAATTATCTGACAGGAAAGGCAAACTGTGAAAATGCAGCAATTCCATGCTGTATGAATCTATGACTCTAGGAGTCTACCTGAGTTGTTCTTGCAGAGAGCCAGTACAGACAAGATGATCAGAAAAGTTTCCTTCTGTCTATTCAACCTTCTTTCTTATTTAGCTGTAACTTTAGAAGAATACCGTCATCTCCAACAATGTGACCTTTCAGTTTGTTACATTCGTCACTTTGAAGTTCCTAGCACTTTTTTGTTTATTTTTGCTTTTTTACATAATATTTTATTCTGATACAATACCAGTTTTCTACCTGTAATAAATCTCAAAAACATCATACATAAATGCAGCATTTGTTAACTCAGTGCAAAATGAGAACTGAAACTGGAATCTTTCTGATCAGTGTCATTTAGCATTGTACAGGATGTGCAACTACCTACCAAGGCAGCTCCATGAACTTGTTATGGATGTAAAGATGCAATTTTAATTTGTAAATATTGGTTATATGCATTATAGATTTACCAAACAATTTAAATGACTGATAAAAGTTGGGTCTAAATTTGGGAGTTTTTAGCAAGTTTTCAAACATCATTCATAAACTAACTCTGATATATTTCCAAAATTACTTCAGATACAAGTTAGATTTCATTATTCATAGTTGGCATAAAATTGATTAGGATGGCTTTTGTGGCACAGTGGTAATGTACGTATCTTTGAGCCAGAAGGCGTGGGTTCAAGTCCTGCCTGCTACAAAGGTGTGATTAGAAAATACCAAAAATTGAATAGGTAAACATTAAATGAGTTGAGTTCAATGGAATTAATACCTTTATGAGTGTAACTAAGAATATTAGAGTAGTTTATGATTTTAAGTGTAGGAGTTTTCTTCCAACTCATGTTCAAAGAAACGTGGTAGCAATAGTTGGATATGATTTAATTTAATCTCTACAAAGTATGAAAAGTGTTGAGTGGATGTAACATTATTATATATTTTATAAAATGGACATTTTTACTCTGAAACTCCCAATAATTGAAGACTGTTTAAGCCACTACCTCTATTTATACCTTCTTCAGCTGAGCTTGTGGTCACCAACTTATGATATGGATAGAAGATAATGACTGTAGAACCACAGAAAACAGAATGTAGATAATAACGCTCTAATATGATTTCTTCTTATTGCAGGTTTTGATAGTTTGCTAGCTTTGCTGGATACTGCAGCAGATATTAGAGCTTACTTTCAGTGTGTGTCAACCCTTGTGCATCTTTTTGTGTTTCAGGTAAGATATTTGCTGAAAAGAATATTATAATTACATTGTTTATGTTACAGTGCATGTCGAAGGTTCAAATTTGTTGTGTCCCTTAAATCTGAGCACTTAGTCATCCACAGATTATAAAGCTAAATATATCGTGAATTATGGCTAGTGCCATTAATAAATATTTTTAAATTGTATACCTATGCTATCCACATATTCGTTGCTGCATATTTAAACAAGTATTTTTCTTTGGCTCTTCTTATGATCTTTCCTCTCAAATCTACACTTTTTATGTCAATTTAAAAACAATATAAACGAGGTCTGACTCTAACAGTACATGCAGACAATAGGGTAGATTTTGACTCCACATTTTGACATTCTGATCTGATTTGAGTCTGACAGTTGAGCTGCAGATGCAGGTTTAGGCTACAGAAACATTAGTTGTCTGGCTCTCTCTCTCTCTGTTTCTGTCTCATGGTTAAAACATTAGATCCTTTAAGCTTGACTTGAGCAAGACACTTATCTTTCAGATTCAATGTCTCTGCTGGGTTGATGGCTTTTAAAGCATGTCAAGCTGTTGCTTCTTGTTGAAATCTGAAAAATGTCACACCCTGTATAGCTTTTCTTCATAAGGTATTCTGGTCTTGACAGCATGTCAGCAATTCACATCCGCTTCTCTTGCTTGTAAGTTACTTCCAAAAGACATCTCTGTAAATGAAGTAACATTGTGTGCCAATGGTTTTGGAGCAGATGGAAGCCATTTGAGAACGATGCTATGGAGTGGTTTGTGGTCAGACTCCACTGTAATTTTGGCTCAACAAAACAGTTATAGATTAAAATGCTCGCAAGAAAATTCTTTTTCAATCTGTTTGTTATGACATCCAATTTATGTTAACAACTGGTTGTCTTTGCTGTATGAGAGTTGCTCCAAGTCCTATCTAGCACACTACAAGGTGACTTTATAATTGACATCATAGTACTGCAGCACTGGTGTTGTTGTCACCAGTTGTTTGGTTCTAGTGAAAACTGCTTCTAGTTCTCTGCTGTAACACCACTGCAATTCTGTAGCAGTGAACTTGTGTAGAGGTTTACACTCAGACGACAAATTAGACAAGAACATTGTTAGCTAGTTTATAGATCTAACAAGTTGTTGAGTTGCTTTCATATTTGCTGTTTGCTACACCTTAGCCCTCACCTTGTCAGATCTGGGTGAAGTCCCCTTGCTTTTAGTACATGACCTAACAACTTGACTTTGGGAAACTTCTTTCTCTTGTTCAACTTCAGGATCATCTGATGAGTACTCTCTAGTAGTCCCATTAGTTTCTGATCAAGGTTTGTGATGACATCTTCCATCATACCTCCATATCCATACACACTACAAAACCTTTTTTTAGGGTTAGCAGTCTAAACCCAAGACTTGATTCAGTTGACATGCGTGGATTTTCATCAATTGTTTGGAACTGTCGATCTTAATTCTTGGATTGGGGTCTCAGCTTCATTTGCTCTCTTGGATTGGATACTGTTCAATCATAAAGCCTCAAGTTTACCTACAAGGATTTAATTTTCTGGTGACTGTCTTGAGCCACTTTGCACAGGTCTGCAAAGTTCATAATGTTGCATGGAATACTGGTGTCTATCTGACACTTCAGATTCACTTGGTACTCTCCTTCTGTTGTCATCAATCCATTGGACACAAACCATTTAATACCTTCAGACCTGATAATGTCAAGTTGTTGTATGGTGCAGAGTGATTCATCAGAAAAATTGTCTGACATCACTCCAGCAGCCATTTTATAGCCTTTCTTTGCTTCTTTCCAGTGAAACACTTGTGTGCAAAGTAATTGCAGTTAAAGCACTGCTTTTCCCAAGCTGGACACACTTCCTTTTATTTGATATGGTGTCCTTCACAATATTTACATCTATTTACTACTTACGCTGACCTTGACCATTCTGCTGGCCTTCGTGCAAATATATTTTTCTTTTTCCATTTTGTTGTTCAAGTTAGTCCTGGATTGTCTCTCATCATAATGCAAAGCTTCATGCATTCTTCCATTAATACTTTTCAGCTGATGATAGACAACCTCAGAACTTTAGTACCTTTCTTGAGGGCAAGTTTCTACTCTCTTAGGAGATATGCTCTCACAGTTGGATCTTTTACACCTAAGGCAATGCTATTTCTGATCAGATATTCTTTCTGTTGTCCAATCTCATTGGATTTAGCTAGATGTCTCAGTGCTGTCTCATACTGATCATTATTCTCCCTTTCCCCAGAGGTCTGATGTTCAACACATAGCATTCATTAGTAACATTAGTAGGGAAACAAAAATGTGTCTTCAAGGCTTTTAAAATTTCTCCAGTTTGTCTTTCCTGCTCCTTGGTACAATCTAGCTCGCTTATACAGCTTGTAGGACCCTTTCTCCAGCACTGAAAACAGAGTTGCTACTCTTATTCATTCAGGGTTTTGTTTAATTCTGTAGTTACCTCATAATTTTGCCATGGAAACTAGATGAAATTTCAATTCTGTCCCATATTATGTTCTATATCCAAAGCACAAGGGACTGAAAAACTCACAATCATTCTGACTCATCTAGTGGCGCAAAGTTACAGACTGCTGTTTGAATTCTTTCTTGCTGTTTCTTGCAGTAACAGGGTATCTTGCAGTTCTGAAAATTCAGCTGCACAGCCCTGATACCATGTTTCATGTGATAAGTTTAATGACTACTGCATAAAATTAAAGTAACAACATCAGAAGTCACATGACTATTACAAGTCCAAGTATATGACACACAAATGCATTTCTCTAAACAATGATGAGAATGGGGAAATCTGTCCATATGCCATCTCCTGTGATTTCCTGACCCTGCTCCTGCCCCCTCTGTTGCTAGGTGCTTTTTTTTAACAGGTAAAATCCCAGCCAAAAATCTTTCAGACAAAATTACTTTCGGTCTTAAAGATTGGGAAAAGTTTAAACTTGAAGAGCACTTTTAAAATGTTTGGAAAACATTCACACATTGCCATAAGAAAATCTTGTAAAGCAGGACACACTGGTGGACCTTCCATGTTATTTCTAATGCGCAGAGGCTGCAGTACATGTAGAATTGCTTTCTCCATTCATATCATCAATATCATCATCACATTTAATTTTAAGCTAAAGACTATGCCTTCACCGAAAACATGCAGTATAAAGACACAAAGATTTGCTTTTTCAGCCCAGCAACTTCAGAGGAGAAGAGTTCACACAACTAGCAGCAAATTTCCAATTGAGATGGAACTACTTCCTGTCTGCAATAAGTCGTGCTTTAACACTGTCAAATGCAGAATCATTTGGTAAGACTTGAATCTTAATAAGTAATTGCAATATATTCATGTTTTCGCAAGTACTGAGACTAGAGAATTGATTTAAAAGAGCATAAATTTATTGATTAATTTGGGCTGATTCTTTTCAATCCCATTGCTGCAGGCTGGCAGACCTGGCAATATGAAATGAGAAAGTATTGGACTCTCGGAGGGCAGCCATTGACTTAAATAGTATCCCTGCAAACATTTTGGCCATGTTGGGAGGGCCTGACACCTCATGGGAAGATCAGCTTGGTTTACCCTGGCAGTCTCCCAGTGGGTTGCGTGTGAGGGTGGTCCATGATGCATACTCTCAGGCTCTTGGAGAGGCACCCAGCTACAATGGTTGCCATCCCCTACCTTGTAATGATGCAACAACAACAACACTGCACTCCCGTTCCACTTGTTTGCAATGGTCTGCCTGCCTGGTTCCAACTTCCCCCAATCTCATGTTTCTTAACTATGTACCTCTGGCAATGTTGTCCTGGATTCCATGGCCGATGAAGTGGAGTAGGCTATGGCCCTGCTGGAAAGCTTTCTAGGTAAGTGGTAAAAATCAGTCCTTTTCATGGTTATTGTCCATCTTAAAATGACATAAACTGGGTGTGAGTACCTATAGGGAAATATCGCCTCGTGCTTCTGTGATTACATTGTGTATTACTCAATACCATGTTAGACTGCAGATAGGGTGGATAATACTGCTACAGTCTGCTTTGTCTCTTTGTTGATTAGCCTGGTACATTAATAAGTTTATGATGGTTAAAAATAGTTTTAAAAATTCAATGTGATTTTGCTATATGTTATTTTGCCAGTTTGAGAGTGAAAACGCCAAATAAGACATAGTGCATGTATACCATTTGCAAATGTATCTCAGGCTGGTATCATACCCATCTAATCTTGTCAGCGAAGAAAACAAATTAATACATTTAATTAAAACAGAAAATACTGGAAATGCACAGCAGGTTCAGCCTTTGCTTCCTTGTCTTTATTTATTTTAATTTTTTTTTGCCTTTCTGCCAGCAGTATACCTATTCTAGATGCAGCCATTGTTTGTTTTCTTATCCCAACACTATTCCCTTTGGCTCTGGAAGACCAACTCTTCTGTCATTCACTCTCTCCCACCTTTCACTCAATCACAGTCCTTCCTTTTGCCCATGTTCCACCCACTCTTTGCTCAAAATCTATTGCACTCACCTCTGAGTTCCGATGAAAGGTCACAGGCCTAAAGCATTAACTGCTTCTGTCCACAAATGCATCCATAATCTGTTGAATATTTCCAGAATTTCCCATTTTTGTTTCGAATTTTCAGTTTCATGCTTTTTGAATTGCATCGTTTGACTTCTAAGAACAAATTTTTTGTGGAAGGAACAGTTTTGTGTGAAAACTGAACTTTCTTTAACAGATGCTGTGTAAAAATGAGGCATATCATGATCTCTCAGCTTGTATATATAAATATTTAACATATGTTGTTGGAAAAGGTCCTTGAAATGAAAACATGTGTCCCATTAATTGTTAAGTCTTAAATTGTGGTGCCAGTTAAGACAAATAAAGAACACTACTAATCCAGATATAAAGATTTATAACATGGTATGGTATTCTTAACAGGAAAGAGTAAATGACCATATATAACTTATCTTTTGGCTGCACATTAACAAAGCCAAATAATAAATAAATGCATTTTTTAAATTAAATGTAAAGTTCTAAAATGTCCTGGCAACAAATCTAGCTTTTACTTTGAATTTTGAATATTTTCACAAGTGTTGTCAGAAAGAGCTTGATCTACCCTATTTAAATAGAAAAGATTGATTTATAGCTAATATTATGATGGCATATGAGAAATTTATAAAGATTGTGATACTTTACAAGCCCTTTAATTGCATATTGCTGAAAAAGACCTATTTTGTCAAAGCTTTTCACCTTGCACTCGTAAGGATCCTTCGCAAGAATATCAATAAAATGGAAAACTAACATTTATATTTTATGAGATGAGAGTGCTGATTGATCAGCAAATGGACTCTGGTTAGAAGAGGTGTTGCCTTGCAGAATGTAACAGTGAATAATGATTGCCAGGATTTGTTTAGATTTTTAAACTAGGCAGGTTAACTTTGTTTGGACAGAATCAGAAGTCACATTACACCAGGTTATAGGCCAACAGGTTTATTTGAATTCACAAGCTTTCAGAGTGCCGCTCCTTCATCAGGTGAAGTGTGACTTATGGCTTCGTCCACGCCAGTCCAACACTGACACCTCCACATCTTGATGGGTCAGGATGTTGTTTGAAAATGAGTTGGCAAATAACTGCCACCTCTTTTTTTGAGATGCAACAGATTTGTTGTGCTTACCTGCTCTTTCTGTCTGCAATGAAAAAGGCACTGTGTCCTAATATATGTAGCTTCTATTTCATGCAAGAACACTGCGCTGTGAATCCAAATGACAGCCTTAAATTGGTAATCAACATAATTCTTTTTAAACTCAGAATTATCTATCATCTGTTATCCAATTGCAAAATTACATCTAAGGTTGGACAGTTGAGTTGCAAATGCAGGCTGGTTGAGTACAGTTACTCCTTGCAACATTTAGAGTCATAGAGTCACAGAGATATACAGCATGGAAACAGACCCTTCGGTCCAACTTGCCCATACTGACCAGATATCCTATATAAATCAAGTCCCATTTGCCAGCATTTGGCCCATGTCTCTCTAAACACTTCCTGTTCATATGCCCATCCAGATGCCTTTTAACTGTCATAATTGTACCAGTCTCCACGACTTCCTCTGACCGCTCATTCCATACCTAGACCATCCTCTGCGTGATTGGTAGACAATGTTGGTTTCCCATATTGGTAATCTTGTGAATTGTCCTGATGAGTGTAAGACAATAAACTTTGACAAACTGTGCCTTTTTTCAACAACACTCAAGTTCTGTATTACCAATGACTAGCCTTTCATTTGATGTACAATAGGATCTTGGCACTTGGTGAATCTTCTAATTTCTGAGTACTTAACTCATGTACTTCAATCCTACATGGAAGAGGAAATGGAAAAATCAGTATCAGAAAGCATGGATCAACTTCCACGTGATACAATTCAGGAACCAGACTTAGAAACCGTTCTCAAAAAGTATTCAGTCCCATCAGAATCTCTTAATGTAAAGTCTGAACAAACAGGTGACAAAGATCTTAATCTGCAAAATATCACCATCAAACCTTTGGGCTTTAAAGTTGATACATTGACTGGCAACAAGGTAAGCTCATCCTGTTGTCTAATTAATAATTGAATTTTGCTGTGAAAGTAATTGAGACTAATAGCAATGTTTTCGTGGACTAATCAGCCAGCAGCTTCCAACAAGCGCAGAGTACAGTTAAACCTGAAAATCTGAAACTTGCTGCCTCTTTCATTTATCCACTGGTAGAAACATTATTTCACTACCTGCCTCTTCAGTGAATAACAAGATTCCCTGGAATTATGTCATTGATACAGACTAAACTTGCCACAGAACTCTAAATTGAAGTATCCTTTCAAAAACCAGAACAACAATATGTATTTATCTAGCCCCTTAACAGTCCAAGGCACTTCACAGGAGCCTTATAAAAACAAACCCACTTATAAAAACAAATCCATAGTTACCTTCACCATACATCCTCATAGCCTGCTTCTTGTAAAGACTTCATTCACCCAGTTCCTACATCTCCGTTGCATCTGTTTTGATGATGCCAACTTTGACAAGGGGGTCTCCGAAATGTCCAGCTTCTTCCTCACCGATTTCCCACCACTGTAGTTGACAGAGCCCTCAGCTAGGTCCGAACCATCTACTGCACTTCAGCCCTCACCCCCTCCCTTCCCTCACACAGCAGCGATAGGGTCCCCCTTATCTTCACTACCATCCCACCAGCATCCACATTCAAAGGATCATTAGCTCCCATCTCCACAACCTCCAGGAAGACGCCACCACCAGACACATATTCCCCTCCCGTCCCTTGTCAACCTTCCGTTAGGACCATTCACTCTGGACACTCTGGTCCACTCCTACTTCACTCCCAACAATTCACCCCCAACACCCCCATGGTGCTTTCCCGTGCAACCGCAGAAGGTTTAACACCCGCCCGTTTACTTCCTCCATCCTCAGAATCCAAAGGCCCAAATACACCTTCCAGGTTAAGCCTGTAAAAGTACCCTGAGCTTTCAGTTGCCTGCCACTTCAACAGACTACCATGTTCCCTGGCCAACATCTGTTTCTCAGGCTTGCTGTAGTGCTCCAGCAAAGCTCTGCGCAAGCTGGAAGAACAACGCTTCAGTTTCCACTTGGGAACTCTGCAGCCTTTTGGACACAATCTCAAGTTCAACAATTTTAGGCCTTGAGGCACCTTTTCCCATGTCCTTACTCCAACCCCCACACACCAGGCCTTGTTATCACGTGGTCTGCTATTACACACACCCCATTATTAACCACAAATGATCCCTATTAGTAGCTATTCATTCTCCTAGGCTGATTGCTTTCCACTCCTTTGCCTGTCCAACTGTTCTCTCTCTTTGGGTTCGATCTCCACATATCATTTACTCCCTGTCCTCTCTCCCCACCCTATCTTCTGTATAATAACCAACTTTTTCCGAGCTGCCATCAGTTCTGAGGAATGGTTGCTGGACCTGAAACATGAACTCTGGTTTCTCTCCACACATGCTACCAGACCTGCTGAGATTTTCCAGCAGTTTCTGTTTTTATTGCTTATAAAAGCAAAATTTGCTACTCAGTCGTATAATTTGATGTTAAGTCAAATGGCCATTGTCAGGGAGATAGTCTTTAGGGGCTGTCTTAAAGGAAAAAAGGGGCAGAGAGGAGGAATGGGTTAGGGAAGCAATTCCAGACCTTGTAATCATGCAGCTGACGACTTAGAGACCAAAAGTAGGGCAAGTTAGAAATTGCTCAAAAGGCCTGAATAAGAGGATAGTGTCTATCTCAGGTGGTTATGAGACTGGGGGATTTGAAAACACGGATGAGAATTTTAAAATCAAGGCATTGCTTTTAATTTTAGTCAACAAGTAGTGAGAGGTAATCAGACTTTCTGAGCAAAGACACAAGCAGCAGACTTTTGAATGGCCTCATTTCGACAGAGGCTAAAATGTGGGAGGCTGCCCTGGAGTACATTAATACAGTCAAGTCTACAGACATCAAAGGGGCATGCATGAGGGTTCCAGCAATAGAGGTTTTGAGACAGGAGCAAAGCCGAGTGATTTTATGGGTGTGGAAATAGGCAGTCTTGGTGATGGCACAGATATGTGTTCAAAGACCAGGACATGTGGAGAGAAGCTGTCACCCACTATGAAGGGAGAATCCTGACCATCACAGGAGAAGATTGGGACAGCTCTTGCTGGGACACCAAGACATTCCTTTTCTGCTAACTGAATAAGTTCTACTACAGTTGCCGCCCTAACCCTACTGTCAGTGCTATTTGTGCCACACAACTGGGATAGCCCTGACCCCTGTGAAGAAACGGATTGCTCTGCCTGAATGCACCTCCTTGACCTCTGAGGAAGGGCCTAGAGGAAGCATCATTTGCTCCAACTCCCCTCCCCTCATTGCCTGTACAGCTCAGATACTGATAGTTCAGTCGGAAAGTCAGGTTTAAAATGCTTGTAAATACAATCTAGTGAACATCTTGCTGTGACAGCTCCACAGCTGGCTAAGGAAGAAACCCCATAGACTGCTGGCATTTGGAGGGCTGCCAGAGACGAAGCACCTACTCAGCCCCAGGCTGGAGAGGACAGTTTTGTGGCAGCAATCTGGGACTTTGTCTGCATGCACTGGGAGAAATAGGAATGGCAGACAGGTAAGAGGAATGCAATGGCCCTCATAGCCCAGAGACTGCAGCTATGCTATGCTGACACAAGTGCCTCAAACAGCCATTTGCTTCCATGAATAGGTTGGCAGCTGCCATGGAGAGCCAAGTCCAGCATCCTTAGAATGAGCACAGCCTTGTACTCCATCAGCCCAGCACAGGTCCTCATGACCAATGGCATGATGACAGAGAATTTTGATCACATTCCAGGTACCCTTCCTCACAAAGAGACAGGGAGGTGCCAGGAGGCATCAGCCTGAGGAGGAACCCCACTCAGGCCCCTCAGAATTCTCCTTTCATGACACTCCATAGGTGGTCAACCCCTTCACCTCCACCCTACCTGTCCCCCTCTGATCCTTGGAAGTTCAAACCAAGGAACCCCCATGTCATCTGGCCGAACATCCAAGGCCAACGCACTCCATTTCTGAGCAGGCTTCCTCCATCCCAACTGCGGAATGTGAGACGATACTGAAACATTGTGGGAGGGAAATATTTGAGGGCACATTGGTAGCACGGGTGACATTGCACTGTACATACGGTCTCATGTTTTCCTGAATGGTTTTGCAGTACATCTGCTTGTCTGGTTCTCTTCCCAGCCCCAAATGTAACAGTCCCACATGAAGCCTAACCTCTTGTCCGCACAGGTTTCAGACAGTTACCTCACTCACTCTGGGTGACGCAGCCATTTTCTATCTTGTTGCATAGTTTTGATTTCCAGCTCAATGGAAGGTACCAGTAAACGCTCATCAGCCAATCAATTCCAGCCTCCCCATCCATATGTCACTATAGCCCCAGACATCCAGATCCCCCTCCTGACAGCCTTTCCCATGACCCCACAGGCTTCACAGGACTCACCCAACTCATGTACCTGAGCCTGCATCTGCCAAAAAAATTTTCTGGATGTGGACACTGGTGGTTCCCCTTGTCCTTACCTACCATCCCACCAGTATGCATATTCAAAGGATCATTAGCCACCATTTCCATCACCTCCAGCAGGATTCCACCACAAGACATTTATTCCTCTCCACCCCGCTACCCGCACCCCCCCCCACCCTTGTCAGCCTTCACCAGGGACTGTTCCCCCCGGGATACCCTGGTCTATTCTTCCTTCACTCCCAACACTTCCTCACAGCCCCATGGCACCTTACCCTACAATCGCCGAAGGTGTAACACTTTCCCATTTACCTCCTTCCTCCTCGGTATCCAATGGCCCAAACGTATCTTCCAGGTGAAGCAGCGCTTTACCTGCACTTCTAGTCTACTGCATTCACTGCTCACAATCTGGTCTCCTTTACACTGGGGAAACAAAGCATAGACTGGGTAATAGCTTTGCAAATCACCTACACTCTGCCTGCAAAAATGACCCTAAGCCTCCAGTTCCCTGCCCCTTCAACTCACCACCCTGTTCCCTATCCTACATCTCTGTCTCAGGCTTGCTGTAGTGCTCCAGTGAAGGTCAGTGCAAGGTGGAAGAACAACACCTCATTTTCTGCTTGGGGTCCCTGCGGCCTTCTGGACTGAATTCAATAACTTTAGAGCTTGAACTCTTCTATGTTCTAGCCACACCAACAGACACACACACACGCACACCACATGCACACACACATAACACACACCACACACATACACAACCCATTGTTAGACACTAATAGCTATTCATCGACTTACCCAGACCGTTATCCACTCCTTTGTCTCTCCATTTGTCTCTCCGGCTGTTGTTCTCTCTCTCTGAGCTCTATCCCCACCTACTTTGCTAATTATCCACTCCCACCACCCTATCTTCTGCATGAAAACTGACATTTTCCTAGCTTCCACCAGTTCTGAGCAAGGGTCACCAGACCCAAAACGTTAACTGTGATTTCCCTTCACAGATGCTTCCAGACCTGCTGATCTTTTCAGGCAATTTCTGTTTTTGTTTCTGATTTACAGCATCCATTGTTCTATTGGTTTGTATTTTGCACAGTATTCCAGTTGTGATTTCCCTTGGGCCCTATATAGCTGTAGCACCACCTCCCTACTTTTATACCTGATTCAATGAATGCAAACATTCCATTTGCCTTCCTAATCAGTTGTTGTACCTGCAGACTAGCATTTTGTGATTCACATACCAGTACATCTGTATCATATTGAGTTTTGCAATCACAATTTAAATAATACGCTGCCTTTGTTTTCTTCACACCAAAGTGAATGAGTTCGCACTTTCCCATGTTGTACTCTATCCCCCAATTTTTTTTATCTATTCAGTTAATCCTTTAAGATTCCTTATGTACTCTTGACAATTTACTTACCTACGTGCTTTTAAACTGAAAAGAGTTCAACAATTTATTTTCAACTTTTCATTTGCGTCTCTTTCATCTCTTTCTCTCTTTAATCCAATGTTTCTCTCTCTTTATTTCACTCTGTGCACCTA